GCGGAAGCAAATTATTGAAATAGAATTGATCCATATGTTAGTCCCGATATGACCTACAATGTAGTTTGTGTCAAGTGAGTGGATGTTAAAGACCTACATGCAAGCAAATTATTGAAAGAAAACTGAACCATATGTTAGTCCCAAAATGACTTAGTTTGTGTCAAGTGAGTAGATGTCAAACCTCTCTCTCTCTCTCTCTCTCTCTCTCTCTCTCTAATATAGATCTATGGTTACAGGTTTGGTCCACCATACAATATTAGGTAGTGGCTTTTAATTGAAAAACCAATATTGCCATGTGTTGTTCAATCTCACTACAGTACAATGTATTCATCAATAGAGATTGACACGGGGTCAAGTTCTATTTAAAGATAATAAAACACCTACCTACAAGTACCTTGTTTTAATTTTTACTACAATTCTTCCATCAACATGTATTATTATTGTTCTCAATGAACTATAACAATGCTTTTGAACTTTGATCTGCTACCTGACCTTATGTTGTCCATGTGTTTTTAGTTTTTCCGAACCAAAGCAATATGTATTGTACATTATATGTGTACTAAGTATCCAACTAAAGTAGCGCTACTAACAGTACCTGATTTACAGGTATCTTTTAGCTTGGCAGGCTGAAACAGAGAGTCTCTCTTCAGGTAAATCTGGCACTGGCTACTAACCTTACCAGAATGAAAGTACCTGTCAAGCTAGCTTTAAGCTGCTTAAAGATGGGTTCCCAGAAAAGTATTTATCGGGTGGTTATTTCCAATAAAAGTATGGCAATTTTGGTATATATGGAAAGTAGAGATATCCAATCTTACTTGAAAAATACTGGATTCCCCAAAAAACACTCATGGAGCGTATACAGGACAAAAATGTAAGGGTTCCCCTAATCAACAGCCCGACGATTATGACCTTCTGCACGCAAGATGTCAAAGGTCACAAGCGAACATTGAACGCTTGATGTACAAGTTGATAAACTTTATGAAGAGTTAGACGTACAATACTTTCTGAGATAAAAATGACGGAAAAAGACGCCGGTAGTGGATAATCCGAGAATTTAATTAGGATTCGATATTTGTAATAAATAGTAAGCGATTAAAGATAACATCGTCTTATGTATGCAATGATTTCTCCTCTGACTCCCAAGACGTGACGTAAACATGACCTGGTTTGATCGAATTTTAATAGCAGGGCATCCCTTCGCAATTACAATGTTTGAGAAGGATTTGAAGCATAATTATGACAAATTAATTAGTTTGAATATGTTTTTGGTCCATATATACCATTAAATCACCCAGTTTGTACGCGGGAACCCATCTTTAAGCTCGAAGATAAAATGGGGTTTAACGTTCTACTGTTCTGCTCCTATACTGGGCTAATGAAGATAAGCATACGCCATACAGTGTGCTATGAGGGAAATTTTGCTCAGACAGCGGTGCTACAGTGTACTCTTACATCGAATTCTAACTGCCAAGGGATCTTTAACGATTTTAATCAGATGTCTACATGTATCATATATTAGATATACAGAGACTGCCCTTAAAGATACATTATGTATCATACATGTATATTACATGTATCATATATTAGATGTACAGAGACTGCCCTTAAAGGGACAATAACACTCTTGCTTCCTTGACAGCCCCAGAAAATAAATGATAGCCTTATTCTAAGTATTAGATGTTTAAGTGTCCTACCTGTTGTGTAAATTATCCATTACATCGCATTTTACTTGTCCAAAGGGTTCGAAAATATTTTTAAATCCAAGTCACATTTGAAAAGGTTTACATAAGGCTTTTCAAATCATTTAGTTGAATTTTTCCAATTTTTTAAATTATGTATTGTAAAATAGTGCAATTTGTTGACCAGAATAAAGATTGGGACATATTATTCAGTTACAACAAGAGTGGTATTGAGCCTTTAAAGAAGAAATTAATATAAGACTCTTTGGCTTTTATTCAATGTGGTTAAAATACAGATCTATATTACGTTTCATTTTTTTATACTTTCGATGGCCTCTATACTACACGAAGATCTGATCGTTTGTAGGGTCACATGAGCGCCTTTTGACCCTATGACCTCAGGCATTTGACTAACCAATCGGCGTTGATGTTTCTAGTGGTTTACCCACAGTTCCGTGTACTTTATGCCACAAACTCACCGTAACAGACTGTTTCATTGACTAATCCCTCACATCATCCAGAACATGGGTTATATAACAATTCCTCCAAATCCTTGTGTAGTAAAGACAAGTAAAACGAAATTTTGAACTATAAAAATCAAAACAAAATAGGACATGTGTTTTAACCCTTTTAGGTGCACGTTGTGAGAATTACATACATGTAGCATGTATCATGGGGTCCATATGGAACTCCAGTTATAGTTCAAAGCTTTTACGTACAGATATATTTGAATTAAAAGGCAGTAGATTGGGTTTTATTTGCATTCATATTTGACATCTGAAAAACACCTAAATTATTATCCAAAAACATTTTAGTGACATATGGAAAAGATTTAATAATTCTCACAAAATTGCTACTTTGTGTACTATATGTGACAAAGAGGTTAAATGACAATTCATGCTTGATACAAAAAACATTTATATTTTTGGAATTCATCAATTAATTTTTATACGTCCACATTCATAATGTGAACGTATTATGCCGTCGCCCCTGTCTGTGTGTGTGTGTGTGTGTGTGTATGTATGTGTGTGTGTGTGTGTGTCTGTGGTTCGCCTACAGGGCGCAATTCTTCATGGATTTTCTTCAAACTTGGTATACTTATTCCTTATACCCCAAGGAAGATCCCTATTGTTTTTGGTGCATGCCCGACCCCCCGGGGCAGAGCCACGCCCATTTCTAGTATTTGTTTGTTTGTCGTCTACAGGCCACATTTCTTAACTAATAATCTTGAAACTTTGCATACACATTCTTTGTACCCTAAGGAACATCCCTATCGTTTGGGGTGCATGCCCAACCCCCAGGGGCAGAGCCACGCCCATTTTCTTTTCGTGTGTCTTTGTGTCGCCTACAGGGCGCAATTCTTACTGGATTTTCTTCAAACTTGGTATACTTATTCCTTATACCCCAAGGAAGATCCCTATTGTTTTTGGTGCATGCCCGACCCCCAGGGGCAGAGCCACGCCCATTTCTAGTATTTGTTTGTTTGTCGTCTACAGGCCACATTTCTTAACTTATAATCTTGCATACACATTCTTTGTACCCTAAGGAACATCCCTATCGTTTGGGGTACATGCCCAACCCCCAGGGGCAGAGCCACGCCCATTTCCCATTTTCTTTTCGTGTGTCTTTGTGTCGCCTACAGGGCGCAATTCTTACTGGATTTTCTTCAAACTTGGTATACTTATTCCTTATACCCCAAGGAAGATCCCTATTGTTTTTGGTGCATGCTCGCCTCCCCGGGGCAGAGCCACGCCCATTTTTTGTATTTGTTTGTTTGTCGTCTACAGGCCACATTTCTTAATGTATCATCTTGAAACTTTGCATACTTATTCTTTGTACCCTAAGGAACATCCCTATCGTTTTGGGTGCATGCCCAACCCCCAGGGGCAAAGCCACGGCTATTTTCTTTTTTATGTCTGTGTGTCGCCTACAGGCCACAATTCTTAATCAATCGTCTTGAAATTTTTTCATATGAATTGCTTATACCCTAACGATGATCCCTATTGTTTTTTTTACCCCCAGGGGCAGAGCCACGCCCATTTTCTTTTCTTTTTCTGTCTGTGTGTCACCTACAGGCCACAATTCTTAATCGTCTTGAAAAAATTTCATATGAATTGCTTATACCCTAACGATGATCCCTATTGTTTTTGGTGCATGCCCGACCGCCAGGGGCATAGCCACGCCCATCCATTATATTTATTTATTTGTTTGTCATCTACAGATCGCATTTTTTTATCGTATCACCTTGAAACCTAGCATACATATTCCTTCTGTCCTAAGGAACATCCCTATTATTTGTGGTGAATACCCAACCCCCAGGGGCAGAGCTACGCCCATTTTCTTTTTTTATGTCTGTGTGTCACTTGCAGACCGCATTTCTTAATCGATCATCTTGAAAACTTTTTTATACTTATTCCTTATAGCCTAAGGCTACTATTTATACTTATTCCTTAATCCTAAGGCCGACCTCTATTATTATTTTTGGTGCATGCTCGACCCCTTGGGACAGAGCCACGCCTAATGTTTGTGTGTCTTGTGTTTTGCCTACAGACCGCAATTCTTAACAGATCCTTTTGAAACTTTGCATACCTATTCGAAACGCCATGCTTTTAGAATAAAGACATCGATTGTTTTAAAATAAAATTGTGTTCTGTTAATGTGAACGAAGTGTTAAACTGATAGCAGTCCTACAACCCAGTTTTATTTCACAGACCCTCAATGCAAACTGGACCATATCAAACAAAACAGGAATGTGGACGTATATTGCTGCGTTAGCGATGCTCTTGTTGGTATTTGTAACATGCAGACTCTAAAAAAGAGAATACACTGGCATATGCAATATGGTATCAGGCAGCAAACACATTAGCAAAATTTCTACTCCGAGTTATCAGTTAGGGGTCCAATTGGACCCCATGTTCTCTTCAAGCATTAGGCTTGATTTGCATGTAACGCAACTCTGCATGTGGGAAGCAGATGAATACCAATCTCTTTGCTACGTGTAAAAATGTATAGGGGACAAAGTCACTAAATTTCAGAAAGTTGTGCCCAGTAGTTACAAAACACATAAAATATGTGCATGGGGTCAAAAGAGACCCCACGTGCACTGACAAGGGTTAATCAGATTGGCTTTTATTTTGTATTGTTATAATACCCATTACAATACATGTATTTGGAGAATACATTTACATGTATTCCTGGTTTTAATACAATCTCCCGTCTTCATTAGCCCAGGTTAGGAGCAGAACAGAAGGACGTTAAACCCCATTTCATTTCATTTAATACAATCTTATATTTTAACATTCTTGTGTTTTCTACTTTCAGATGTCGTTATTATTACTGTTAAAATACGTCTACAGAATGTTAATGATGAAATTCCTGTTTTTAAAAATCAACCGAAACCATTCTTCGCTGTGGTTCCACAAGGTGCTAGACAAGATATTAAAGTTTATGAACTAGTTGCTGAAGATCCCGATGGCAATCGAGTATCGTATTCTCTTAATTCAGGTATGTGACAAACGTGGCTTTTGCGATACATCTTCCCTAAAACCTGGTTTGTCTTAGAATCCATGGTGGTTAAGTGGGTAAGACGCTGGCACGCTAGCCTGGAGGTCGCGTGTTCGATCCCTGCATTCGCCTAGAAAGTTCATATGGATTTTGATGTGGCTTCCCCTTATCAGTGGTGCAGGACGAGGACCTGGCTGTCTAGTCATTGGCGTACACGTAAAAGATCCCTTGACAATTGGAATTCGATATAAGAGTAGGCTGTAGTATCGCTGTCCTGGCAAAATTTCCCTCAGAGCACACTGTATGGCGTATGCCCTTCTTCATTAGCCCTATCTATACAGGAAAGTAGGATGTTTAACCCCATTTGATTTCCTTGATTTTTCTTCACACGGTTACACAACTGCAACAACCCTTGTTGACTACTAGGACGACTTAGCTGCTGTGGGTGTTTGTTTTGTTGCTTGGCAACCTATCTTTCTACACATTGTTACACAACTCTATCAATTCTATTTCAGGAGCAGAAAGCCGGTTTATTGTGAGAACAACTGCTACTTTTTCCGATAGGCTGAATCGTAATGTTATAGTTGGGGAAGTCCGGACCGTGGGATCTGGCACGTTTTCACGGCCAGATTACCAATTAGTGATTCAAGCAGTGGATACCACAGACACAACCCAGGCAGCCATAGCTACTGTTTTCGTTCGAGTCGGCACACGAAATCCACAGTTTTATGAAGATTCTTATACTGGTAAAATACCGGAACAAGGTGCTCCTAATCAACTGTAAGTTTCTGTTCATTGGGATTTTCCGGCGTATTTTCCGTTTGTCAGTGGTGCAGGACGGAGGGCTGTCTAGTTGTTTGGATGGGATAAAAAAAACAAGGCCCTGTGTACACATTGGCGTGCACGTAACAGAACCCTTGGCAGTTGGAATTCGATATAAGAGTAGGCCGTAGCACTGCTGTCCAGGCAAAATTTCCCTCATAGCACACTGTATGGCATACGTCTATCTAGATCAGCCCAGTCAGATTAGAACACTCCACCCACCCCAGCATGTGTTTTATCAAATGAACCAGCATGACCCTGTGAATGTTTTAGTCTTGGGCGAATTTGTGCCCTGGACGAAGCCGTTTATCCTGCTAGTACACTGTAATTAATAACTAAGTTGATGGATCTTAAATGCGGAGTCCAACCTCGTGGGTTTTCTCCGGTTTCGTCCCACTGCTAAAGACCACTACGTGCAAGCAAATTATAGAATAATGTGTAGTCCGGAAATGACCTAGTTTATGTTGAGTGGATGATAAACCTCATTTCTCTCTCCCTCTCTTAAATGCGGAACAAAATAAAGATCTTATTTTTATGAGATTGCAAAATCTGACGATGAGGCCTGAGTCTGAGTGTCTGGGACTACATACATCCTAAGGCAAGGGCACCCATCTTGAAGTGTCTGTGACAAAAGAAATAATAATTCTAAATCTATTTACCATAAATTATTCCAATAAGCATCATGTCTAATATTTGTACATTTTTCTTTTTTCAGATTGCAGAATCAACTCAAGATTCAAGCTATTTCCTTTCAAAACAAAACCATAACATACGAATTATTTAAAGGTGGTGTAAATAATACGGATCCGTCTCCATATTTCACCATTGACAGACAGACGGGTGAGATTAGAACTACCAGCACCCTAACAAGAAAAGATCTTGACTACGATATAGCAGAAAAGAGTCAAAGACCACCAAAATTTCCCCTAACTGTAAGGGCTACCGAAGCAGAAACAGGCCTTTTCAGTACTACTCCTGTAAGTTTATCGTTTTTTGGGTTTTTTTTTGTTAATATGAATTATCATCTAATTTAGTTTTCACGATGGTAGACATAACTGGAATAATGAAATGGGCTTTACAGGGCATCATTTTTGACAGGCATTTGCGCGCTCGCGCCCGCCTGCGCCTGTAATCTTGAAAACACAAGCGCGGGTTATAGCTCCTGCTAAAAATTCAGACAATTTCGACAGTTTTATCAAGGAAGTCGAGCCTGAAAAGTTAAATAAAATATTATTGTATCCGAAAATCGTGAAGAGTAGTTTTGTTATGGTATCGAGACATTTGGGTTGAAGATTATTAGCTTGGTTGTCAAGTCTCTCCATGACGTTTGCATTCACGAAAGATTATTATTTATTAGTGATAGTATTACATTAGTAATAAACGATTGATCGTTTATAAATTAAATGCTTTCCGTGTTACGACGTTAGTTTTGTAAGAGTTTTTGATTGTGAAATTTGAATAAATATAACGTTATGAATTTCTGTCGTGGTCATATAGAAAGCGTCTGGATAATCACGATATATATACATTCCTTTCGCGCCTTTGGCATTGAGCCAGAGATTTACTCGAACGTCCAAGGTAGTGTTTTCTGTTGTAAGCATAAGACCGGTAAATCGAGTACTTGACAACCAATGGCATGTTCAATGAGCGTATTCGTCTGCTAGAATTTATATACAATCAACAGAAATATTGACTAAAAAATGTCTCGACACTGAAATTGTGTACAACTACACACATTTAATAATTGGGATGTCAACTCTGTAATTGATTCTAATACCAAAACGGATTCACAAGGCCGCCAATTTGTAATTAATATTTGTTGCAAAATTTGTGCCCGGCACCACGAAAAAGTTTCACGTCCTCAGCACTTACGTCAGTTAATAGCTAATAAGTACTATTAAATAAATAAATCAATTGGATTTTTAACTGTTTTTTTTTTTCTACACCATGGATAGATGGTAAAAAAAAGCTCTTGCGAGCAAATTTGCGGGTGCGTTTTTATGTGCTCCCGGAAATTTAAGTGCAAGAGCTTTTTGTGACTCCTGCATGTTTTACAGAAATGATCCCCCATCTTTAACGTCCTACTTTTCTGCACCGACTGGGCTTATAAAGACGGGCGTACACCATACAGCTTATTCCTATTTCCATTCCAATTCTTCAGGGTTCTTTTATGTGCATGCCAATGTGTACACGTGACCTTAGTCTTTTTCGTCCTCTCCGAATGACTACACACTGTTCCTGTTCAGGCCCTCCGTCCTGCAACCACTGACAAGGGGGAGTCCACGTCAGAACTTTCTCGCCCAACGCAGGGATCGAACACAGAAGCTCCTGATTGGCAAGCCAGAATCTTATTCACTGAGCCACAGCGGCTCTCTAGATTAAACATGCATTATGCAAGAGCTAAATCTGCCTATTGCAGGTCTTTCTTTAGGCCTGAAATGTTATATAAACTATTAATTAGACATTAATTAACTTATCCAGACCATAGTCAAACCTCGTGGGTTTTGTTTGGGTCCTCCGGTTTCATCCTACTGCTAAAAGACCCTTACGCGCAAGCGAATTATGGAAATAAAATTGAACCATATGTTAGTCCGGAAATGACCTAGTTTGTGTCGAGTGGACGTTAAACCCCATTTCTCTCTCTCTCTCCCCACTTTAAATTTACCTGTCTTACTTTTTCAGTTGGTGATTGAATTAATCGATATTAACGATAATAAACCGATATTTGAATATTCAAGATATCAGAAAATTATTCCAGAAGACTTTAGAATTGGCAATTCTATTTTACAAGGTATGTATAACATTATTTATTTACTTTCTGGGAAGGGTGGGTGGGGCTTGGATGGCCGAATGGCTAATGCGTGCTTGTTGGATCAGAAGGTATGTTATTGAGTCAACTGGCGTGGTTTCAATTCCCCACTTGTACGTGACAGGGAGTAGGGTCGCCTGTCCAACCTCGTGGGTTTTCTCTGGGTCCTCCAGTTTCCCCACACTGCTAAAGATCCCTACGCACAACCAAAGAAGCCTTTTTATGTGTATAGATGGCAAAATGAAAAGAAATGGGGTTTATCATCCGCCTTTTCTGACTCTCTCTCTCTCATATAGAGCTAATGAAGATGGGCATACGCTAGACAGTTTATTATTGAAAAAATATTGAACAATATGATTGTCCCAAAATGACCTGTTTTTTTGTCATTACCCCCTCCCCTCTCCTCTTTCACCTCTCCCTACTTTTTATATTCGATGTGTATGATTTTGTTTTCAGTGAAAGCTGTTGATCAAGACTCTAGTACCAACTCTGAGCTGGTATATTCCGTTGATGATGGTAACTTTACTATAGAAACAGTCAATGATGTAGATCAAGGTTACATCGGTATCATCCGAGTCAAAGAGTAAGATTCATTATGTCACTTAGGCCAAGAAAAAAAAACAACCATGTTTACGGTTGCTTGCTGCCCCCCAAATAGAGTCTGTCGGCCGTTATATTTTTATTTGTCAATTTCTACCAAGAAAAAAAAAAACCTGTGTTTACGGTTTCTCAGCCCTCAAAAATCTTGTTGTTTGGTCTTTTGTTTTTTTTTTGGGGGGTTTTGTGGCCTTTCCTTCCTTTCAGTTTCACGTGCGTCCAGATATATCGGAAACAGAAATTAATATTATAGTCAAGGCTCCGCATGTGTTCACTACATCTGTCATGTATAATTGGAAACTGTAATTATCGAAAGCCAACAACAATATTGTTACTATTATAATAATTTTATTTGTATTACTATTATAATAATTTTATTTGTATTTCAGACGATTAGATTATGATCGTATCGTTGGTCACATGTACAGTTTTACAGTTGTTGCGTCTGATAAAGGTAGTCCCGTACAGACAGGTATAGCTAATGTACGTGTTGTTGTAACTAACGTAAACGATGAACCACCAGAGATAAAGATTGACGACTCCATTGTATTCAGTGTGAGAGAAGATGCCAACATTAACTACGTCGTAACTTTTATACAAGCTACTGACCTGGATGGTGATCGAGTCAGATTTTTCTTCTCACGTAAGTAATAAGCGAGAGAAAGAGAAAGAAATAGGTCTCAGCCTCCACTTCAATCTGATAAAAAGGAGCCACGGTGGCTAGGTGGTTAAGACGCTGGCTCGCTAGCCTGGAGGTCGGGTGTTCGATCCCTGCATTGGCCGAGAAAGTTCATCCAGATTTTCCGACGTGGTTTCCCCTTGTCAGTGGTGCAGAACGGAGGGCCTGACAAGGACAGCTGTCTAGTCTTTCGGATGAGACGAAAAACCGAGGTCCCGTGTATACGTTAGAATGCACGTAAAAGATCCCTTGGCAGTTGGAATTCGATATAAGAGTAGGCGATAGCACACTGTATGGCGTATGCCCGTCTTCATTAGCCCAGTATAGGAGCAGAACAGTAGGACGTTCAACCCCATTTCATTTCATTTCATTTCATTTCAATCTGATAAAAACACAGATCCTAATTTCGTTTCGTTTTTTATAGTTCAAAATTTCGTTTTACTTGCCTGTACTAGGATCTGGAAGAGTTGTTATATGTGGCGTGAGGTATTAGACACTGAAACCATCTGTTAAGGCGACTTTTTGGCGTGCCATGCACGGAACTGTGGGTAAACCACTAAAACGTCAACGCTGATTGATTAATCAATGTCTGATGTCATAGATAGGGTCAAAAGCCGCTCGTTCAACCCCTGATGAAGCCTTTCAGTAAAACTGGTCAGATCTTCAAGTAGTGTAGGCCATCAAATGTATAAAATAACGAAACGAAATATAGATCTGTGTTTTAATCAGACTGGAAGATGGACATACTTCATGATTGCGACAGCAGCACTACAGCCTGATCTAAAGAGGCCCCAATAAAGTGGAAATTAGTGCTGGCACGATATATTCTTCTCTTGTTGCTTCAGTAAGTAACCTGTCCCACTTAATTATCCATGTCGCACACAAACACCCTTAAAATGTTTGAACCTTATTTTGATCCACATTAAGACATTGCGTCTAACAACAGCTTACTTATAGCTATAGGTATCCCTGGCGAATACAAAGTTTTGAGAGGGAATTGAAGCAAATTTTTGATAGATTGGTTACTTTGAATATGTTTTTAGTCAAAATATATCATCAAATCACAAAGTTTGTACGCGGGAATGTATCTTTAAGATCTTGATATAAAATAATTTTCTTCGACAATCGACAGGACTTAAAATATCAATTATTCATTTATTCTGAGTAGGACGTTAAACCCTATTTCATTTATCCTGTTGTTTTCTTGGTCAATATTGACCTGGTTATGAATCGTGATAAAAAACGTATCGTAGAACCTGAATCGCAATACGTATCGTATCGAGGCTGTTGTGGCAATACCTATCACTAGTGGAAATGTATTACATATTTATATTAATCATATCCAACCTCGTGGGTTTTTTTCCGGGTTCTCCGGTTTCCTCCCACTGCTAAAGACCCCTATGTGAAAGCAAATTATTGAAATAAATTTGAACCATGTGTTAGTCCCAAAATGACCTAGTTTGTGTTGAGTGGCGTGGTTTCGATACCCCAGTTGTATGTGACAAGGAGTAGGGTCGGTTGTCCAACCTCGTGGGTTTTCACTGGTTTCCTCCCACTGCTGATGACCCCTATTGAATTATTGAAATAAAGTTGAACCATACATGTATGTTAGTCCCGAAATGACCTAGTTTGTGTCGAGTGGACAGTAAACCCCATTTCATATTGCGATGGTGAAACATTGGATGACTGTGTCTTCAAACCAGATCTGTTTTTTTATGACCTCCTTTGCAGTTGTGGTAACTCAATTTGTTTATTTTTTTCAGCTGATAGAGATGAATCAGGAATTTTCTCAATTAATCAAGACTCTGGCCTTATTCGTCTTATACGACCTGTTCCTCCAAATATTGATAAGTATGTTTTGAATATCACGGCTAAGGATGACGGAGCTTGCTGTGGAAGTACTATATCGTTGTCGAGTGAGGCGTATTTAGTAGTAGAAATCGTTGATGTAAATCAACATAAACCATCTTTCGTCGACTGTTCAGATTATAACGTTGCTTCTGTACTGGAACATCAACCCGTTGGTACAAAAGTTATAACGGTGAGTAGATTTTATTTAAGAACAATTCTAATACTGTATAATAAAAACAACTGTAATTAATACTGTATAACCAGAACAATTCTAATACTTTATAACATGAACAGTTGTAATACTGTATAACCAGAACAATTGTAATACTTTATAACATGAACAATTGTAATACTTTATAACATGAACAATTATGAACAATTTTAATAGTTAACCAGAACAGTTTTAATACTTTATAACAGGAAGAATTGTAATACTGTTAACCCGAAAAGCTGTAATAATGTATTACAAGAACAACTGTAATACTGTTAACAAGAACAATTGTAATACTGTATAACCAGAACAACTGTAATACTGTATAAATAGAACAATTGTAATACAGTTAACAAGAACAACTGTAATACTGTGTAATCAGGACAACTGCAATACTGTTAACAAGAACAATTGTAATACAGTTAACAAGAACAATGAGACCCTTTAGCACTTTTACCACCCAAAACTGTCTAAAACTAAGGTTCCCTCCAGTATCCCGATCAACTGTGAACTATTTAAGGACTGTATACCAGTTCTGTGATTTTGGCAGTTTAGGACGGGAGTCTCAGTGGCTAAGTGGGTAAGGCGCTGGCTATCTATCCTGGAGGTCGCGGGTTAATCTCATAGCACACTGTATGGCGTATGCCCGTCTTCCTTATCCCAGTCGGAGCAGAACAGAAAGACGTTAAAACCCATTTCATGTCATTTCAGTTTAAGGAGCAGTGGTTCAGGCAGATTCGAAAATTTGCTGCAAAACTCAATGTAGAAACGATAACGGTCAACCTGATTAGACACAGATCCTATTTCGTTTCATTTTTATAGTTCAAAATTCCATTTTACTTGTCTTTACTACACTTGGATCTGGAAGACTTGTTATTTACCTCGTGTTCTGCTTGAAATGAAGAGTCAACCAATCAAATGGTCTGTCGAATCGAGTGTTTGACCTTTTTGGCCCTGAACTGTGGGTAATCCACTAGTAACATCAATGCTGATTGGTTAATCAAATGTCTGACATCATAGGGTCATAAGTCGGCCTTTTGACCCCTGACGTGACCTATGGCTATAACTAGTCAGATCTTCAAGTAGTGTAGGCCATCGAAAGTATAAAAAACAAAATGAAATATAGATCTGTATTTTAATCAGATTGGATAACGGCAGAACAGAAAATCAAATTAGTATTGCCTTATGTTAATTGGATATTAATGTATTTATGACTTCATTATTTTTTTTTTTTTCAGGTTAAAGCCATAGATGAGGATCGAAATGAAAATGGACGAGTTACATACAGTATTTTACGGGGGCAAAATCAGTCACCACGTTTTAATATCAATGTGGACAATGGAACAGTTACGACTAACGTGGAGTTTGATCGAGAAACAACTCAATCATTTACTTTGACAGTAAAAGGCAACGATCAAGCCAATCCTTCTTTGGAAGGATACTGTACATTTACTGTAAACATCGGAGATATCAACGACAAATCACCAGTATTCGATCAACCCGAATATGCTGTGACTATTACAGAGGATTACCTGCCTGGACGTTCAGTAGCTAACGTACGTGCTGATGATGCAGACATTGGTGATAATGCAAAAGTAGAATATTTCCTGATATCGAATCCCGATGATATGTTTAAAATAGATCTGGAAGCTGGTATTATCTATCTTAACAAATCATTGACCGATGTAAGTACTAGGACTTTATTATTTCTTAATATTGTTGGTTGGGTGGCCAGATGGTTTAACGAGAGTTGATAAATTCTTTATTCTTGGTGGTTGGGTGGCCAGATGGTTTAACGACAGTCGATTAATTCTTTATTCTTGGTGGTTGGGTGGCCAGATGGTTTAACGACAGTTGATTAATTCTTTATTCTTGCTGGTTGGGTGGCCAGATGGTTTAACGACAGTTGATTAATTCTTTATTCTTGGTAGTTGGGTGGCCAGATGGTTTAACGACAGTTGAATAATTCTTTATCCTTTGTGGTTGGGTGGCCAGATGGTTTAACGACAGTTGATTAATTCTTTATTCTTGGTGGTTGGATGGCCGGATGGTTTAACGAGAGTTGATTAATTCTTTATTCTTGGTAGTTGGGTGGCCAGATGGTTTAACGAGAGTTGATTAATTCTGTATTCTTGGTGGTTGGGTGGTCAGATGGTTTGTTCAGTCACGATACGATACGCCTTGCAATTCAGGTGCTACGATACGATTCGTATCCTGATTCATAACCGGGTCAATATTTACCAAGAAATCAACAGGATAAATGATTAATTGATATTTTTAGTCCTGCGTATGTCGAAGATATAGAACTGTTTTACATGTATATCAGGATATAAGTGCAGGATGGAGGGTCTGCCAAGTCAAAATGTATAGTCATACAGATCGTACGAAAAACAAAGGTTCCGTGTACACATTGGCATGCATGTAACAGAACCCTGAACAGTTACACAGTCATTGTTTTTTTTAGTCGCCTTACTGTTCATTAAGGGGAGCTTTTTTCGCCTCTCCTCTAAAATACAAAAAACAACAACTGGTTATAATTCAAAATAAGGGTAGGCCATAGGGTGTACGGCCGTGTTCATTTGTCCAATCATTTCATTTAATTATTTATTAATGTCTTTCTGCTTTAATTTATTTACAGAAACTTTCGTATCCTCTGGTTGTCATGGCGAAGGATAAAGGAGTACCACCTTTAAACAAAACAGCAAATGTCGTTATCAAGGTTGCCGATATTACTAGCAAACCCCCGACATGGAACTCAAATGATTATTCAAGAACATATGATGTCAGTGAAACGGCGGGAAATGGATTTCAAGTGGCCGAATTTTCTGCTACATCAAATATTGATAATCCTAATCTTGTCTTTTCCTTAGTTAACAATGACGGTAATCCTACTACCATCCTGGAACCGTTTTCTATTGAATCAAGTGGTACCACTGTCAAATTACTCGTACACAGTTCACTGGATTATAATATCAAGGATTTGTATGAAGTTAGAATTCGGGTCACGGTAAGTTTATCACAAAAATATTTAAATTAAGTCTTGTCATGTAAAAAATTTACAATTGAAGAACTATGGTTCCTCATGAGTAATTCTCTGGCTTTCTAAACTGGAGCAATCTTTCACAGAGGATTACGAAAGTCTTCGAATATCTCTGTAAAAGATGACTACCTTCAACATGTGATGTCTCCTCACACGGCGTCAATCAATGGATCAATGGCGCGTGCATTGTTTACATAAGACGTTACTGGTTCGTGCGGAATAGAGTCTTTTACTCATTTTAATACCCATTTACACTCAATAGGAAATAATTTTTACCTACAAATACGTCAAACGTCTTTATTTTTTTTTCTAAGACATAAAAAAAATGTTTTAGAATTTAGTTTGTCGGAGGAAAAAAGTTAAAATCGCATCGATGTCATCCTTATCAGTGATTTTCGTGGACTAGCGAATATTCACTGTTGATCAGTGTGAACCTGGAGGTCTCGGATTGCCTCCCGAGTGTTCTTCTGGATTTTCCGGGGTGGTTTCCCCATGTCAGTGTCTAGTCCTTTGGATGATATGCAAAAAAAGAGATCCTGTGTACACACTGACCTACAGGTAAAAGAATCTGAATTTGAATTTGAAATAAGAGTAGGCTGTAGCACCACTGTCCGGGCAAATTTCCGTCAATAACTTACTGTATGGTGTATGACCGTCTTCATTAGCCCAGTTGGTACATAACAGTAGGACGTTAAACTCCATTTCATTTCATTTGTCATGAAACATTTTCTATGGCTTTGTTTTATATTCATGTACTGTATTGTTGGACCGCATAAATTAATAGAAAATTGTGGGGTTGGGTGGCCAAGTGGTTGAACGAGTGGATGTTAGATCATACAGTATTTCATTGAGTCTTGGGTTTTCCCCAATCTGATTAAAATACAGATCTATATTTCGTTGCATTTTTTTATACTTTCGATGGCCTACACTACATAGCGATAGGTCATGTCAGGGGTCAAAAGACCGACTTATGACCCTATGACGTCAGACATTTGATTAACCAATCAACATTGTTGTTACTAGTGGATTACCCACAGTTCCGTGAAAAACACGCCTAAAGCTCGCCGTAACAGACTGTTTCATTGGCTTATCCCTGACACCATTCAGAACAAGAGTTAAATAACAACTCTTCCAGATCCAAGTGTAGTAAAGACAAGTAAAACGAAATTTTGAACTATAAAAATGAAACGAAATAGGATCTGTGTTTTAACCAGATTGGGGTTTTCTCCTGATCTTCCGTTTTCCTCCCGCTGCTAAAGGCCTCTATGTGCAAGCCAATTAATATTGGAATAAAACTGAACCATGTGTTAGTCCCAAAATGACCTAGGTTGTGTCAAGTGGGTTTTAAACCCCATTTCTCTCTCACTCTCTATTACAAACTACTAAAGATACATTATGGGAGATTCGATAACGAGTTGGCAGTTCTCACTATAAAAAACTAGATAATGTAAAGGCAATTTGCTGAAAATTTCAGTCAAATTGATCCATAATGAACCAAGAACTAAGCGATTGAAATTTCCGCCTAGCCTCGATCATCATTACTAAAGTCAGTACGATAAACAGCATAATCTTGATTATCCATTAAATCGTTAAATCGTGAAGGAAAGTTATGCAGTAAATCAGCTCATAATCCACGAAAGATCACAGGCTAGCGATGCCATCTACAGTTGATTATTGTCTGGATAGGTTAATTAATGTCTAATTAATAATTTAGATAACATTTCAGGCCTAAAGAAAGACCTACAATAGACAGATTTAGCTCTTGCATAATGTATGTTTAAAGTTGCATATTTGTTTTTCTCTTCAGAATTTAAATCCTACGCCACGAAACAGTCATATTTCACCAAAAATAAGATTACTTGATAAAAACAATAAAGTACCATATTTTGTTGGAAGAGATCAAGCTATTACTATGTATCCTGGTAGTGTTGCTGAAAATATGGACCCTGGTCAAGTGGTCATTGATGTTAAAGCTTTTGATGATGACTCTTCTTCTCCTTATAATGATGTAAGTTTCACTGTTCTTGTATTCCATTGATATCTGTTCTTATACGTGGGGTTGGGTGGCCAAATGGTTATTATACGGTCTCTCATTGACTCAACTGGCGTGATTTCGATTCCCCGGTTGCAAGTGGCAAGGAGTAGGGTTGCCTGTCCATTCTCCGGGTCCTCCGGTATCTTCCTACTGCTAAAGACCCCTATGCGCATGCAAATTATTGAAATAAAATTGTACCAGGTGTTAGTCCCGAAATGATCTAGTTTGTGTATCGAGTGAAGTTAAACCCCATTTCTCTCTCTCTTAAGTACTATATTGGTGTGATTTTAGAATACATTCCATTCTTTTTATCTAGCCATGTCAAATTTATTTTCAGCTAACCTTTTCGTTGGAGCAAAAAGAAAATGTTTCAAATTTGTTCCGAATAACAAAGGTTGATCAAAATACGGCTCGAATTACCACAGCTGTTAGTTTTGATAGAGAGAAACAGCAGACGTATTTTCTTCAAGTGAATGTCGTAGATGGTGCCCCATCTGACATACCTAATCATACACCGCCTGGAACACCTAATAAAGGTTAGAATCTTTAGTCATTTCTTTAACTAAATGGGGTGGGGTTTGGGGCACAGTGACTCAGTGAGTAGGACGTTGGCTTGCTATCCTGGTGGACCCGTCGTTGGCTGAGAAAAGTTCATCAGGAATTTCTGGCATACCTAATCATGCACCCCCTGGAAGACCTAATAAGTGTTAGCATCTTTATTCATTTCTTTAACTAAAGGAGGGTGGGGTAGAGAAGTGGGAGGGGAGCAGGGTGGCTCAGTGAGTAGGACGTTGGGTTCGCCTCCTGGCGGTCCCATGTTTAATCTCGTCGTTGGCTAAGTAATGTTCATCACTAATTTCTGGCATACCTTATCATACACCCCCTGGTTGACCTAATAAAGGTTATCATCTTTGTTCATTTCTTTAACTAAAGAAGGGGGGGGCGCAAGGTGGCTCAGTTAGTTGGACGTTGGCTCGCTAACCTGGCAGTCCCATGTTCGATCCCGACATTGGCCGAGCAAAATCATAGGAATTTCTGGCATGGTTCCCCCTTATCGGTGGTGTGGGAAAGAGGGCCTAGCAATGAGACGACAAACTGAGGTTGGATGGTTAGCATGCACGCGTTTTATCATAAGGTCTATCATTGAGTCAACTGGCGTGGTTTCGATTCCCCAGTTGTATGTGACAAGGAGTAGGGTCGCCTGTCCAACCTCGTGGGTTTTCTCCGGGTCCTCCGGTTTCCTCTCACTGCTAAAGACCCCTACGCATAAGCAAATTACTGAAATAAAATAGAACTATGTTAGTCCCAAAATGACCTAGCTTGTTTCCAGTGGACTTAAACCCCCTCTCTCTCTCTCTCTCTCTCTTTCTCTCTCTCTCTCTCTCTCTCTCTCTCTGTGTTGACCAGTTTATAATACATGTATAATGTTTGTATGTTACAGCTAGCGCCATTGTTCAAGTTATTATCACAGATAGAAATGACAACAGTCCATTTTTTGAGCATGATTTATATAATGCTTCTGTTAAAGAAGATGCTGGCTTACAACATAGCATTATAATGGTTACAGCTCAAGATCCTGATACATGTAAGTATATGTCTAGTTGTTCGGATGGGACAAAAAAAAAACAAGGTCCAATGTATACATTGGCGTACACATAAAAGATTCCTTAGCAGTTGGAATTCAATATAAGAGTAGGCCATAGTGCTGCTGTCTGTGCAAAATTTCCCTCATAGCACACTGTATGGCGTATGCCTGTCTTCATTAACCCAGTTCGGAGCAGAACAGTAGGACGTTAAACCCCATTTCATTTCATTTCCTAATTTACATTCTTCACTAGAATATCAAATTTTTCACCGACTTAAGGGGTCATTATGTAAGATTTAGATAAAGAACTGACCATTCTCACTGTAATATTTCAAAAATAGATAATGCAAAATGAACATTTTGAAGATTTGCTTCAAATTACTTTATTTAGAGTGAAGTTATCAATGGTTGTAGTTTTGTTAATCAGAATTATTAGATACTAGAAGAATGCCCGGCTTCGCTCGGGGGTCATAACACCGAAACCGGAAGTGGTAGACTAACGCCACCTGGCCTATGTTACTCCCCGGTCCGAGCTACCCCTATACCCCAAATTTCAGACTCGGGGCAGACCTAGTGTAGCCGCCAACCCCGAACAGACAGACAGACAGACAAACAGACAGACAGAAAAACGACAGTCACAAATATTAGTATTAAGATATGTGAATTTATTTATCTTTCAGCTGATATATTGACCTACTCTATTAGTCAGGGGAATATTAGAAGTGCCTTTGGTGTCCAGTCTAAAAAAGGAATCATATATGTTGCTAGGCAACTAGATTTTGAAAATGGGGAAGAGGCAAGTTATTCTAATTTTTTAATTGAGTAATTAATTGCCAATTTGAAGAGATAAGCAATAATTTTTAGTTTTCACGATAACTGTGACTTCTTCTTAAAGGGTTTCGGCTCCTTTCTTGGGACCTTAAAATTGTCTTGTAGGATATGTGTTCTTTGTTCACTACAACTGGCACCCAAAACCATAGAATAGTTGTCTTGGGTGGAGGGTTGTCCTGGTGAGGCGGTGCAGTTGTCCAGAGGGAATTTGTTCAGGGGAAAGTTGTGCTGGGGGTGGGTGGGGTGTTGTCCTGCTCCCCCCCCCCCCCAACTGTAGTGTCTTTACTTTTCTTTTTATAATATATATTCATCTATTTTTACAATATATGTTCATCTATTAATACAATATATATTCATCTATTTTTAGTCCTTTGATCTGACTTTAGTGGCGAGCGATGGCCTTAATACCAGTCAAACCCGAGTTCATATCGATGTAGAAGATGTGAACGATAATAGACCACAGTTTTTAAATCAAACGTATACCATAGCTAATATAGTAGAGGAAGATACAACTATAACACCAAACAACAAACGATGGCTAACTACGGTATGTATTGTCAGATAGTGGTATATTGAGATTCATTGTGGTCTGAAACCTATTCTAAGTAGATATAAGTTATCTCCCTTGTGCTGTGGTTCGCCTGCCTTTTTTGAGAAATAAAGATAGAGATTGGAATTCTAACATGGTTGATTTTCACCTCACCCGCATGTTTAGTGTAACACCCCAGGGTCCAAAGAATCGAATATAACGGTATAGATTGTGTTCAAATTTCGCACGGTACCACAGATTCTAAACGAGCTGCCACTCCTGCTCAGCAACATCTCGTTGTAAATGACAACGATAAATTCCATCTGTAGAAATTTGTAGGTTTCATTTTGACGGTCTATTATATTAAACAAAGTTACTTTCCCTGAAAATCGCTGAAAAGTTCTGCAATAGTATTTTATTTTATATATGCTTTTTTGATAAAATAGAAATAAAAACGGATAAATTATGTTCTCCTGATTTTGATTGTTTCTGTGTGTTTGAGGTATATGTTTGTGATATGCGCTTAGAAACACTTCACGTGTAATGAAGCGCTATGTAAATCGAACAATAATAATAATAATAAATATTATTGAATAAGTAACAAAGGTACACAGTAGTTATAATGTTGTTACAATATGACGCGTTTGCGTTTATATAATTTATATCAGATTTGAGTCTAATAATTTTTGCACCTATGTAGGCCTACTCAAATTTATCACTTATCATGATATGATGCAGGAAAATTGTTGAAGTTGGGTCGTCATTGGTTTTAGAATTTGTAATTATATTGCGTCTTAATCTCAGGTTTCAGCTACAGATGCAGATAGAAATAGACCCAACAATATCCGATATTCCTTATTAGGATATGGAACGGATGGTGTTGGAAAATCCTTCGATATTAACCCAGAAACTGGAGAGTTATATTTATTATTGCCCCTTGATAGAGATTTACCAGACGGAAGGGCCGTTTATCAGTTTAATGTTCGAGCTATGGATGAACCTCAGAACCCAGATAGTGCTCAATATGGTTTTGCCTCGGTTCAAGTAAGGCCTTTGGATATTAACGATAATCAGCCGATCTTTCAAGAGGATATGTCCGGAACAGTTGCTGAACATTCTCAAAGAGGTAAGCCCATTACTAGCTATTATCAACGTAATCTGCATGGGGATCACGCTGGGTAAGACGCTGGCTCGGTAGCCTGGAGGTCGGGTGTTCAATCCCTACATTGGCTGAGATAGTTCATCCAGATTTTCTGGTGTGGTTCCCCCTTGTCATTGATGCAGGATGGAGGGCCTGACAAGGACATGTAAAGGGTTTCCTTGACAGTTGGAATTCAATATATGAGTAGGCCGTAGTGCAGCTGTCTGGACAAAATTTCCCTTATAGCACACTGTATAGTGTATGCCCGTCTTCATTAACCCAGTTCGGAGCAGAACAGTAGGACGTTAAACTCCATTTCATTTCATTTCTATTTTAAAATTCTCTTTAAAAAAAAAAAAATTGTGTTGACGGTTCTGTCATGGTGTCTTTTGTAATAAATTCTTTTATTTCTGTCTACAGGTTCGGTGGTTATGTCCGTCCTGGCTCGGGATTACGATTTTGGAGACAACGGAACTGTTGTATATGCAATATACACACCACAAGTTACCGATACTAATTCCAACATTTTTGCCGTCAATGCCGAGACTGGTTTAGTGACGACTAATACCGGACCAGAGGGCTTAGATCGCGAGACGCTAGCCGTATATTCAATTATCATGACAGCACACGACAAGGGACCTAATCCGGAAACTTCCACAACAACAGTTACTGTTACTCTAACTGATATTAATGACCAGGTTCCCGTCTTTCAACAAAAATATTACAATGTCACGATGTCGGAGGCTCAGGCAAGTGGGGAAATCGCTTTAGTACGTGCTACAGATAAAGACATTGGAGAGAATGCGAGATTGGAATATTCCTTGGCTCAACAGGATCGTACTTACTTCCAGGTGGTTGGCGTCAATAATGAAGGAAGTATTGTTGTCTATAAGGTAATTCCATTTTTAAACTGTTTATTTGGGAGGAGGGTGCATTTCATCATAACAGCTAGATCTATTTGACAAGGCCAAATACACATTTCCTCAAGGTCGCCTGTCCAACCTCGTGGGTTTTCTCGGGGTCCTCCGGTTTCCTCCCACTGCTAAAGACCCCTATGCGCAAGCAAATTATTGAAATAAAATTGAACCATGTGTTAGCCCCAAAATGACCTAGTTTGTGTCAAGCGGACGTTAAACACCATTGAAGGCAAGGCAATGATGGTCTTATGTGTGTGCATTACATCATAAAGCCTAGATCTATTTGACAAGGCCAAATGCATATTTCCTGAAGGTTACGAGATGTAAACAGGGTTAGGGCACATGATTACTGTTGAGGATTGCATGTTAGGGTTAGTGTAGGGCTAGTTCTGGGGTTTGGTAAGCGTTAGCCCTGTTTACATCTCGTGAACTTGAGTCAATTGTGCATTTGACCTTGTCATTGAGTCAACTGGTATCGTTTTGATTCTCCGGTTGTAGGTGACAAGGTCCAACCTCGTGTGTTTTCTCTGGGTCCTATGGTTTCCTCCCAATGCTAAAGACCCCTATGCACAAGCAAATTATTGAAATAAAATTGAACCATATACTTATCAAGCAGAGAACAGTGGTCGAAAAATCTCCAGAAATAAATGTCTAAGTAACTTGTATTCCATATCATTGTGCCATGTGTTATTCTCATTCACTTACTAAATGCCACTTTAACAATTTATTATTAAAAATTTGTGTTAATTTTTTGGCTAGTGAACCCTCCTAAAAATGCCGCTAGTAGTGAACTTAGTAACTCGCTTATAGTATCCCATATAATGTTCTCATTCACTAGCCCTATCAGAGCAGAATAGTAGGATATTTAATTTAATTTCATTTCACTCAGTTACTAAATTCCACTTTAACAATTTATTATTAGAGTCTTGTGTTAATTTTTTTTTGTAGAGAGTAGATTATGAAAACGTTAATGAGCGACAGTTTAACCTGACAGTAACGGTACAGGATAACGATCCTGCTCATACAGACACAGCTTACGTTCACGTTACTGTCGAAGATTTCAACGATAACGCGCCAGAATTTCAACCCAAGACAAAGTCGAAAACTGTCGACGAAAATGTCGCAATTGGTACGGTGTTGGAAACCTTTACTGCAACAGATGCCGATTCTGGAAGAAATGCAGAGTTTAAGTATGTGACCTATTTGGTATATTAATGTTATAATGGAAGACGTGATGCATCATAGGGGGTTGGGTGGAACGGAAAGTCTTATCATCAAGCCTCGTCTTCAATAGCCCGGGGGGGGGGGGGTGTGGATGGCTGAATGGTTAGCACGTGCGCTCTGTACCATAAAGTCTGTCATTGAGTCAACTGGGGTGGTTTCGAATCCCCGGTTGTACCTGACAAGGAGTAGGGTCGCCTGTCCAACCTCGTGGGATTTCTCCGGGTCCTCCGGTTTCCTCCCACTGCTAAAGACCCCTCAGAGCAAGCGAATTATTGAAATGAAATTAAACCATGTGTTAGTCCCGAAATGACCTAGTTTGTGTCGAGTGGACGTTAAACCCCATCTCTCTCTCTCTCTATCCCTCTCTCTCAATAGCCCAGTTCGGATCAGAACAGTAGGACATTAAACCCCATTTCGTTTCTATCATGAAGTCAAGTGGCATGGTTTAGATACCCAGCTTGTACGTGATATGGAGTAGGGTCGCTCGTTCAACCTTGTGGGGTTTTTCCGGTCCCTCTGGTTTCCTCCCATTCCTCAGGTTTCTTCGTCAGTGGTGCAGGACAGTTGTCTAGTCGTTCGGATTCGACGGAAAACCAAGGTCCCTTCTACACCTTTGACAGTTGGCATTCGATATAAGAGTAAGCCATAGCGCAGCTCTCCTGGCAAAATTATCCTACATGGCATATTAGACCAGTCATTGCAGAAAAGTAGGACATTATATCCCATTTTATTTGTAATGTTTGCATTGGCCGAGAAAGTTCATCTGGATTTTCCGACGTGGTTTCCCCTTGTCAGTGGTGCAGAACGGAGGGCCTGACAAGGACAGCTGTCTAGTCTTTTGAATGACACGTAAAAGATCCCTTGGCAGTTGGAATTTGATAGTAGGCGATAGTGCCGCTGCACGGTCAAAATTTCCCTCATAGCACACTGTATGGCATAATGCCTGTCTTCATTAGCCCAGTATAGGAGAAGAACAGTAGGACGTTAAACCCCATTTCATTTCATGTAATGTAATGTTTGTATTTCAGATATAGTATTGATTTAGCTACAGATAAACGAAGACAGTTTGCTATAGATGAATCAACTGGTGTTGTAACAGTACAACGTCCTCTAGATAGAGAAACTGTGGAAGTTCATTACATTAACATACTGGCTATTGATGAAGGTATATTTACATTCAATCTCTTGACGTTGAATCAATATATTCAATTATATCTTGGAGGAGGGCGAGTGTGGTCAAATGGTCTCCTATACATTAAATTATGGCTTGGAGGAGTGGGGGGGGTAAATTGTTTCCAAAAACGTTCAGTTGTGGCTCGGTGGATGTGGGGCGGGGAGCGCAAATGATCTTACCTGTGTCCTTTAGAACAAACTGTCATTAAATCAAGTGGTGTAGATTCAATTTTCTCAGGTACTTCGGTTTCCGGGGGGTTGGATGGCCGAATGGTTAGCACGTGCGTGCTGCATCATAAGGCCTGTCATTGAGTCAACTGGCATGGTTACGAATCCCAGGTTGTACGTGACAGGAGTAGGGTCGCCTGTCCAACCTTGTGGGTTTTCTCCGGGTCCTCAGGTTTCCTCCCACTGCTAAAGACCCCTATGCGCAAGCGAATTATTGAAATAAAATTAAACCATATGTTAGTCCCGAAATGACCTAGTTTGTGTCGAGTGGTCGTTAAACCCCATTTCTCTCTCTCTCTCCTCCAACTGCTATACAAAAGTGAATTATTGAACTAAAATTTAACGTATGTTATTCCTGAAATGACATAATTTGCATTACTGTATTTTCCTACAAGACCTGCTTTCATCGATTTTAATCAAGACATTGATAGCAATATTTCATACATTCAGACATTGATAGCAATATTTCGGACATTGATAGCAATATTTCGGACATTGATAGCAATATTTCGGACTTTGATAGCGATATTTCAGACCTTGATAGCGATATTTCAGACATTGATAGCAATATTTCAGACATTAAAATTTAAAAAAATATCCATGTATTAATTTATTATTATATTGTTTTTGCAGGTGATCCGAAATTAACAGGAACTGCCAGCTTTATCTTGACATTAAACGACATCAATGATAACTATCCTATCTTTAAAGAAGATTATCGGCCAGTTGTACCAGAAAATTCGAAAACTTTCCCTTCTTTGGTTATTAATCTCCAGGCTAAAGATTTAGATACTCCACAATTTGGTGCACCGTTTGGATTTGCTTCGGCAAAATGTACCGATGGCACGGAAGTATGTCCCTGTCCTGGAAAACCAACTTGTCAATTCTTTAGTTTAGAATTTGATCCGAGTAAGTTAATAGAAATCATTATGGAGCAAATTAGAGTTTTACAAATCAAAAAATAGATTCTCTTTCGAGATTGAAATTCAGTTTTTATTCTAAAGGAAGACCCATGACATTGATTATGGTCTTGATTGATAAGTTAATTAAAGTCTAATCAATAATTTAGATAAGATTTCAGGCCTAAAGAAAGACCTGCGACAGGCAGATTTAGCTCTTGCATAATGTATGTTTAAGCTACAGTAGTGAGAATTGTCAGCTTTTTTTTTAAAATCTAAATCTTACATTATGTATCTTTAAAACAGAAATTGTTTATTTACAGATGGAGATAATGGTGATGGTGAGGGTATAGTTAAAACTAAGGCCGAATTTGACCGTGAAAATGTCAAATATTATTATATGCCTGTTGTAATGTGGGATATGAGAGATTCTAACGATCCACGAGCTCAAACGGGTACCAATACATTAACCATTGAAATCGGGGACGAGAATGATAACAAACATGGACCAGGACATAAAGATATATTTGTCTATAATTATGAAGGTAAGACACACTTATGATTGGATAATTTAAACTGAATGCTGCCTTTTTATTGGCTAAAATTTGCTCTAGGAATTTAACCATGATCCAATGAAATGTGGGGTGGGGGTGGGGGGGTGAATGGTTAATGCACGTGTTGAATTAAAAGGTATGTCATTTAGTCTGGTGGCATGGTTTTGATTCCCCGTTTGTACGTGACAAATAAAGGATGGAAATAAAATTGAATAATATGTTAGTCTGATGCTGATAATGGCCTAGTTTTTGTCAAGTAGATGTTATACCCCCATTTCTCACGAGTATGAATGAAATGAGTATTCTGGTTTAATCTACTTGTCTACAAAGATCTCCTGACTATATGTTAGTCCCGAAATGACCTAGTTTGTGTTGAGTGGATGTTAAACCCCATCTCTCTCTCTCTGATTTAATTGTTTGTTTGTTTGTTAGGTAAATTTGGACCCTTAGATACATTGAGTCAAAGGTTTAGCCCCTTTAAATATATTGGACCGTTAGATATATTGAGTGAGAGTTTTAGAACCCTTTAAATACATTGGGCTGTTAGATATATTGAGTGAGAGGTTTAGCCCCTAGTTTAAATATATTGGGCTGTTAGATATATTGAATTAGAGGTTTAGCCCCTTTAAATATATTAGGTCATTAGATATATTGAATTAGAGGTTTAGCCCCTTTAAATATATTGGATCGTTAGATATATTGAGGGAGAGGTTAAACCCCTTTAAATATAATTATCCAAATTACTGATTAAATTGTTTGTTTATTTAACAGGTAAATTTGGACCGATAGATATTGGTAATGTTTACGCGACTGATCCTGATGATTGGGATGTTGTTGATAAAACTTTTACATTTTCCGAACCAGCTTATATGAAAGAATATTTCACGTAAGTATATAAATGTATATATAAAGTGGGGTTGCGGGTTGAATGGTGTCAGGCACGTGCTTTAGATCATAAAATCTGTCATTGAGTTTCCAAGGTTTCCCCCCTTGTCAGTGGTGCAGCTGTCTAGTTGTTTGGATGGGATGAAAATCTGTGGTCCTGTGTGCACATTGGCATGTATGTAAAAGATCTGATATAAGAGTAGGCCATAGTGCACTGTATGGCATTTGCTTGTCTTCATTAGCCCAGTTCGGACAGAACAGTAGGACGTTAAACCCTATTTCATTTTTGTCATAAAGTAAAGAAATAGGGTCACCTGTTCATCCTTGTGGGTTTCCTCAAACCAAATTGAACAGTATGTCTTAAGCCTGTAATGACACCAAGGTTGTGGATGTTTATCCCCATCTCCGGGTCCTCCGATTTCCTCTCACTGCAAAAGACCCCTACGTGGAAGCCAATTATTGAAATAAAATTGAACCATGTGTTCGTCCCATGGCTAATTGGGTAAGACACTGGCTCGCTAGCCTGGAGGTCGGGTGTTCGATCCCTGCATTGGCCGAGAAAGTTCATCCGGATTTTTCGGCGTGGTTTCCCCTTGTCAGTGATGCAGGACGGAGGGCCAGACAGACAAGGACAGCTGTCTACTCATTTGGATGGGACAAACAATCGAGGTCTCGTGTACACATTGGCGTGCACGTAAAAGATCCCTTGGCAGTTGGAATTCGATATAAGAGTAGGCCGCTGCCCGGGCAAAATTTCCCTCATAGCACACTGTATGGCGTATGCCCATCTTAATTAGTCCAGTTTAGGAGCATAACAGTAGGACGTTAAACCCCATTTCATTTCATTTTCATTTTTATTATTCCACTTTGTATAAATGTTTCAGTGTAAATGCAGAAGATGGCATGATAACAATGGCTAAAGGCGTACCTGTAGATAAAGACTACACATTCAGTGTTAATGTTTTTGATAGAATTTGGAATCTTAATGCAGTATCTACGGTAACTGTTACCGTGAAAAACTTATCAGAAGAAGCTGTACGTAAATCTGGTGCTATGAGACTCACAGGTATAATAATCTTTTAATCGGGGGGGGGGGGGGGGGGGGGGGTTGGATGGCCGAATGGTCTGTTCATGCGCGTTGTATCGCAGGTCTGTCATTGAGTCAACTAGCATGCTTTCAATGCCCCGGTTGTACATGATAAGGAATAGGGTCGCCTGTCAAACCTTGTGGGTTTTCTCTGGGTCCTCTGGTTTCCTTCCACTGCTAAAGACCCCTATGTGCAAGCAAATTAATTAAATTGAACCATGTGTTAGTACCGATGAAATGATCTAGTTTGTGTCCAATGGACCTCTCTCTCTCTCTCTCTCTCTCTCTCTCTCTCTCTCTCTCTCCTTACTGTCTATGAGTAGAAGAATCCCAGAATTTGTTCTCAGCGATACAGTTAGATTAAAGATTAAAAAAAATTATAACAATCTGATTAAAACACAGATCTCGTGTCGGTTTTTATAGTTCAAAATTTCGTTTACCTGTCTTTACTACACTAGGATCTGAAAGAGTTGTTATATAACATGCATTCTTGTTAATGTGAGGGATTAGCCAAAGAGTCTTGGCATACGATGTACGGATTTGTGGGTGAACCACTAGAAACGTCAACACTGGTTGATTAATCAATGTCTGACATCATAGAGTCAAAAGTCGCTCGTATGACCTCTTGATCCTTGTAATGTTCAGGTAATATTTTGTCTCTGTATTTAAGGTACAACTGCCGAAGAATTTATGGACAGAGAAAAGAAAGCAGGAGACATAACAGCATATCACGAAAGTAAGAGCGATAAATTCCGTCAGTTATTGGCCAGTAAAATCAGTGCACCTGTTGGTAATGTGGAAGTTATAAGCGTGATGAATAATGGAGAATATACCGATGTGAGATATACAGCTCACGGCTCACCTTATTATGATGCTAGTAAAACTGATAGTGTTGTTTATCTCAATAAGAAACAGGTAAGTGAGTCTATTTAATTAATGAGGTGGGGGAGTCGCGGTGGCTGGGTGTTTAAGACGCTGGCTCGCTAGCCTGGAGGTCGAGTGTTCGATCCCTGCATTGGCCGAGAAAGTTCATCCCGATTTTCCGATGTGGTTTCCCCTTGTCAGTGATGCAAAACGGAGGGCCTGACAAGGACAGCTGTCTAGTCCTTCGGATGATACGAAAAGCCGAGGTCCCGTGTATACATCGGAATGCACGTAAAAGATCCCTTGGCAGTTGGAATTCGATATAAAAGTAGGCGATAGTGCCGCTGCCCGGGCAAAATTTCCCTCAAAGCACACTGTATGGCATACGCCCGTCTTCATTAGCCCAGTATAGGAGCAGAACAGTAGGACGTTAAACCCCATTTCATTTCATTAAATTAATGAGGGGTTGGGTGGCTGAATGGTTAACGTGTGTGCATTGCATCATAAGGTCCATCATTGATGAAACAAGTGGCATGGTTTCGATTCTCTACTTAAACGTGACAAGGAGTTGGTCGCCTGTCCAACCGTGTGGGGTTTTTTTTCCAGGTAATCTGGTTTCCTCCCACTCCTAAAGACCCCAATGCTCAAACAAATTATTTAAAAAATAATTGATGTATGTGTTAGTCCTGAAATGACCTCATTTGTGTGGTGGATGTTAACACGCACACCCCTCCCCCCCCTCTCTCTCTCTCTCTCTCTCTCTCTCTGAATTCCTGAGAAGGATGGTTGAGATTTTTTTCAAGCCCGGTCTGCACTTGCCAGGACTGCCCCATTGTTCAGATGAATCCTTGACAGTAGTAAACCAAAAAAGAGTAGGAGGACTAGCGGCAGTCTGGCTTGTATTGCACACCTTGAAAAGAACATTATTGTGTGGATAAAATGTTAAACCTAATTTGAATATTATCATTTATGTGGAATATCAGTAAATAAAGACCTGTTGCTCGAAAGGCATCGTGGAATAAAAACTTTAGCTGCTACTACAGTCTTGTTGGTCTGTTGCTAGGGGATTTTATTTTGGTATTATTTTCGAAGAATTGCTTCCTTTTCGTTAATACGGTATCATGGAGGTCCACACTGACCACTACTGTTACTTTAGTAAGACATTTATTCGTCACAGTCTTGGAATTATATTATGTGGAATATTATATGTGAAATATTAAATTATGTGGAATATTATGTTACGGAAAATATTATTATAATATGTGAAATATTATATTATGTGAAATATTAAATTATGTGGAATATTAAATTATGTGGAATATTATGAGCCATTTTTATATAATTTTAGTTTGAAGATGAATTAGGAATAATGATAGCTATGGTACCTATTGATGAATGTAGAGATGAGAAATTCGAAGCTGGTTGTTATAATTACTTGAATATAACAGGAGGACCAGCCATGGTCAATACAAATAGTACCTCGTTCGTTGGCGTTGAGACGTATATTCAAGCTCTGGAAGGTTGTCGAGCCCTCGTGTTCCCCGATCCATACCAATGTTCACCAGATTATTGTTATAATGGAGGGGAATGTATCACAGATGATTGGAAGGGAATATCGTAAGTTTACTCTTTTTTGTTTGGGTGAGTGGTCAAACTCATGCACTTTAGATCATAAGGCCCATCAATTCACAGGTAGAGAAGGTTATCGAGCCCTCGTATTTCCAGGCCCGTACCATTGTTCGCCAGATTATTGTTATAATGGAGGTGAATGTATCACTGATGATTGGAAGGTAATATCATAAGTTTACTCATTTTTGGGTGGGTTTGAGGGGAGTGATCAAACTTATGCGCATTAGATCGTAAGGCCCGTCAATGCACAAGTAGATTATACTTCTCTTCTTACTGTACAGCCCAGTAGGCACTTATGTCTGATCCTAGGATCTATTCACTTGATTTGATATTCGTCATTTATTTCTTGCAATGTCCGCCTGTCCAACCTCGTGGGTTTTCTCCGGGTCAAGTGGAGTGGTTTTGATACACTCATTGTACGTGACCAGGAGAAGGGTCGCCTGTCCAACCTCGGTATCATCCCACTGTTACAGAACCCTACGAGCAAGGGAATAATTGAAATAAAATAAAACAATATGTTTACTCATTTTGGAAGCATATTTAATGTTACATACCCCACTGCTTAAGTTTATACAGATCACTATGGAATACAATTACTGCTTATTACTGAGCGACGTATTGACTAGGCTTTATAGAAGTCTAGTTGAAACGTCGATCAGTAATTGTATTCCATAGTGATCTGTATATTCCAGTTCAATTACTAAATACCATTGAAACAATTTATGCTTAAGTTTACTAATTTTCTAAAGTGATTTTGGTCCTTGAAGCCCTCTTAAGAAATTTTCATTAAGCATATATTTTGGGGCCTAATTGGATTAAATTCAATAAAAATCTGTGAAATTCTTCAACTTTTAAAAGTTTGATGTTCAATATTTTTCAGCTGTAAATGTCCAATAGGATACGATGGTCCACGATGTCAGGGTACACATCATGGTTTCGATGGGAATAGTTACGCCCTGTTTAAACCATTCGAACAATGTAAAGACAGTATAACTAGTATAGATATAATAACCCAACAAGAAGATGGACTAATCTTCTATAACGGACCAGATTCCGAACTCGGTCTTGACGAACCAACAGACTTCATATCTCTAGAATTAATCAAAGGTTATCCTCTTCTACGTATTGATCACGGTACTGGAGAATTACAGCTGCAGATAAACGGTAGAAACAAAGATGGCGCCGTCAGGTTACAAGCTTTGAATGATGGGAAATGGCATCATATTGATATTATTAGAGAAGGAAGGGTAAGTTTGTGATTTTTTATAGACACGATCAAGAGGGGTTTGGTGGCTGAATTTTTTAACGTGTGCTAATTTTAGATCACACTGTCATGGTTTCGATTCCTAGCTTGTAAGTGACAAAAAGTAGGGAGAAGGTCATGGTTTTCTCCAGTTCCTCTGATTGTGCGCTTTGCATCATAAGGTCATAAGGTCTTTCATTGAGTCACCTGGCGTGGTCTCGATTCCCAGCTTGTACGTGACAAGGAGTAGGGTCACCTGTCCAACCTCGTGTGTTTTCTCCAGTTCCTTTGATTGCCTCCCAATGCTAAAGAACCCAATGGGTAAGCGAAACATTGTAATAAAAATGTACTATATGTTAGTCCCAAAATGATCTAGTTTGTGTTGAGTGGACATTAAACTCTCTCCCTCTCTCTTTCTCTCTCTCTCTCTCTCTCTCTCTCTCTCTCTCTCTCTCTCTAACCCTCTTCTCCCCCTCTCTCTCTCTCTCTGGACATACTATACCAGACTAAATGACAAAAAATACACTTTCAGGCAAAACAGTAAAAAGCTCTTTTATTTGGGTCGATATATTCAAATTGTTGACATTTTTAATTTCCGCAGATAGACCCATTAACAAACATTTTTCCAGTTTGAATGAATTATGTTATTTTATTTTAAAAACTCTCTAATGCTCCATCTTTTATTTCAGAACGTTCAGTTAATTGTTGATAGATGTGAAGTTGTCGAGCGTAAAAATGAGATAGCGATTGATGATGAGGCTTGTCGTAAATTCGGTGAAACACCTAATGCCAATATGTTCCTGAATGTTAACACTATGTTGCAAATAGGAGGGCGTGCCCAAGCTAACCCTCAGTTTGAACCTGTGGGAATAACATCGTCAAAGTTCAACGGCTGTGTTAAAAATCTCCGACATAATGGACAGGTAAGGATATAAAAAATTATCTTGCATAGACTATAACACATACTTATGGAAAAACAGTTATTGATTTATTTAAGCGATGTTTCGAAGAGTATTCTCTCAATGTTTTCTTCGAAAATTGCTTGAAAACGTTGAGAGAATACTTTATTTATTGTTATAGTTTATTGCTCTATTCAGTTACTAAATGCCTCTAAAAGATCATTATCTTGCATGAATCCGGACACATTCGCGATTAGATTCTACTTCCACTATTATATATTGTAGTATATCATTTTATTGGTGATCCGTCTTCATTAGCCCTGTTTGGAGCAGAATAGTAGAACGCGAAACCTCATTTCATTTCGTTATTGGTGATGTTGGCAAGGACAGTGTCTATTTATTTGGATTCTACGGAAAACTAGGCTCCCATGTACACATGGTGTGCATGTAAAAGAACCCTTGACTGTTGGTATTCAAGATAAGAGTAGGTCGGGCAAAGTTTCCCTCATAGTACACTGCATTCGGTGCTGAAAATTAGGACGTTAAATCCCATTTCATATCATTGGTGCTGTGTTGAAAAAATGTGATTTTTTTTTATTTTTATTACAGATCTATAATTTACATATTGGCGGTACGCCTGGTTATCCATCTGGTGAGAACGGCTGTCGAAAGGAAGAAGATATCTGTGGACTTAACAGTATAACTGGACCCGTCTGTGGTGAAAATGGCATTTGCATATCGTCATGGACACCACCAGATAAAACCTGTATTTGTAAACCAGGGTTCTTCGGGGTCAAATGTCAGTCAGGTAAAAATAATTCACACATTCGATTACGATTTTATCCAATATTTTCAATAATACTCTAACAAATTTATAACACAATTGCTATGCAAACTGATTTCTGTATTGTAAATAGATTGATTTTGGTAAAGCATTAGGGTTGGTTAATTTCTCTATAGCAAATAGGCTGATTTCAGTATAAAAAATAGCTGATTTCATTATAGCCAATAGGCTGATTTCAGTATAGTAAATATGGTTGATTTCTGTATAGCCAATAGGCTGATTTAAGTATAGTAAACAGGCTGATTTCAGTATAGTAAACAGGCTGATTTCAGTGTAGTAAATAGGCAGATTTCTGTACAGTAAATAAACTGTTTTCAGTATAGTAAATAGACAGATTTCAATATAGAAAATAGACTTATTTCAGTATAGTGAATAGATTGATTTCAGTATAGCAAATAGGCTGATTTCTGTATAGTAAATAAGGGACTAGCTATCACTGTAAACCGGGTATCATTTAATTTTGTGTGTTTAGCACTAATTTCTTTCTCATTCATTCAATATCAAATGTTTGATTAAAAATACATACAAGTACAAATTTGATGATTTTAAATGAATTTTATCTATTTTTATACGTCCACATTCATAATGTGAACGTATTATGCCGTCGCCCCTGTCTGTGTGTGTGTGTGTGTGTATGTATGTATGTGTGTGTGTGTGTGTGTGTGTGTGTCTGTGGTTCGCCTACAGGGCGCAATTCTTCATGGATTTTCTTCAAACTTGGTATACTTATTCCTTATACCCCAAGGAAGATCCCTATTGTTTTTGGTGCATGCCCGACCCCCCGGGGCAGAGCCACGCCCATTTCTAGTATTTGTTTGTTTGTCGTCTACAGGCCACATTTCTTAACTAATAATCTTGAAACTTTGCATACACATTCTTTGTACCCTAAGGAACATCCCTATCGTTTGGGGTGCATGCCCAACCCCCAGGGGCAGAGCCACGCCCATTTTCTTTTCGTGTGTCTTTGTGTCGCCTACAGGGCGCAATTCTTACTGGATTTTCTTCAAACTTGGTATACTTATTCCTTATACCCCAAGGAAGATCCCTATTGTTTTTGGTGCATGCCCGACCCCCAGGGGCAGAGCCACGCCCATTTCTAGTTATTCTTTAAGTGGCATTTAGCGATCAGGGAACAAATTAACAGAACACAGTTTTTATGGGATACAATCACTAGTTTATTCTAAAAGCACGACGTTTCCACAAGTATTCTCTTATCGTTATCAATCAAGCAAAAAAAAACAAAAAAAAAACGTCATGCTTTTAGAATAAAGACATCGATTGTTTTAAAATAAAAATTGTGTTCTGTTAATGTGAACGAAATGTTATACTGATAGCAGTCCTACAACCCAGTTTTATTTCACAGACCCTCAATGCAAACTGGACCATATCAAACAAAACAGGAATGTGGACGTATATTGCTGCGTTAGCGATGCTCTTGTTAAACAAAGATTTGATTTTAAACGAATGTGAAAGAAATTAGTGCTAGATACACAAGATTAAATGATACCCGGTTTGCAGTGTATAACATAGGTGTAGTGCGCGTAACTTAAATTTTAAAAATTGATTAAATAGTTTGATTTCAACATAGGATGTATTATTTATATTATTTCAGAGGCCACCACTAAAGATTTAAGGATTAACAGTTATCTAATGTGGCAGCTCCATAATGCATTCTTCAATAATATAACACCATGGAAACTACAGAAACAGTTAATGTTCCGTACTAGAGACAGGAATGGTATTCTAATGACTGTTTCTACCACAGACAATTCAAAACATGTTACTCTTGAGGTTTGTACTTTTATATTTTTAATACATTGTTGAAATTGATTAAATTCTGTTCAAATTTATTATTGAATTCTGTTCAAATTTATTATTAAATTCTGTTTAGAATTAATTAAATTTGAAATATATTTATAAAATTCTATTTTTTATTTATTAGATTCTGTTTAAATCGGAATAAATTCTGTTTAAATTTGTTAAAATGTATTAAATTCTGTGAAAATTCTTTTGAAATGTATTAAATTTTCTTAAAATTGATTGCAATTTATTACTAAATTTCCTTAAAATGTATTATTATTCCTTAAATTAAAATGGCCAAATTCATGATATATTCTAACCTGGAACCAGAACAATTGGAGCTAAAAATATTTGAACAGTACAACCAAGTACCTTTTTACCTGTGTGACCTATGTATGAAGTAGGGTCGCCTGTCCAACCTCGTGGGTTTTCTCCGGGTCCTCCGGTTTTCCCCCACTGCTAAACCCCCCTATGCGCAAGCAGATTATTAAAATAAAAAATTAAACCATATGTTAGTCCCAAAATGACCTAGATTGTGTCAGTGGATGTCAAACTCTCCCTCTCTCTCTCTCTCTCTCTCTCTCTCTCTCTCTCTCTCACACAATTTATTCAGTGTTGTATAATTTTGTAGGTTTATGAAGGTAATGTTCGTGTCAAGTATGAAATGGGCAACAGTCAAAAAGAACAATTTTTAACAATAGAGAATACAACCGTAAGTGATGGGCGTTGGCATGTGATTGAGTTACAGCGATATGGTAAAATGTTTATATTGAAGTTGGATGAAGGAGAGGGTAGAAACTATAAATATACCATGGGAAAACCAGGCGACCATGAGGGTATTAATATAAAGAGATCAGTATTTGCTGGTGGAGATCTTACGTCTAATAATCAAGTCTATGGTGATCTAACAGATTGTAAGTATATTGGGTATTTTATTGGGGGGGTCACAGTGGGTAAGACGCTGGCTCGCTAGCCTGGAGGTCAGGTGTTCGATCCCTGCATTGGCCGAGAAAGTTCATTCAGATTTTCTGGTGTGGTTCCCCCTTGTCAGTGATGCAGCACGGAGGGCCTGACAAGGACAGTTGTCTAGTCGTTCGGATGGGACGAAAAACCGAGGTCCCGTGTACACATTGGTCTGCACGTAAAAGATCCTTTGACAGTTAGAATTCAATATAAGATTAGGCCGTAGTGCCGCTGTCCGGGCAAAATTTCCTTCATAGCCCAGTTCAGAGCAGAACAGTAGGACGTTAAACCCCATTTCATTTCATTTCGGTATTTTATTGATAGATTTAGAGGGGGGTTGGATGGCCGTATGGTTAGTGAATGCACGTTGTATCTTAAGGTCTGTAATTGAGACAAGTGGTGTGGTTTCGATTCCCTGCTTGTACGTGACAAAGAGTAGGGGGACCCGTTCAACCTTGTGGGTTTTCTCTGGGTCCTCCGGTTTCCTCCCACTGCTAAAGACCCCCTAAGCACAAGCAAATTACTGAAATAAAGTTGAACCATATGTTAGTCCCAAAATGACCTACTTTGTGTCGTGTTGATGTTAAACTCTCTCTCTCACTGTCTTAATAACCCCCAGCGGTTTTCAACAGGCTATTAAAGATCTTGAAAGCACTAATTTCTTGTGAAGTTACATTTCTAGCTTCAATATTTATGATACTGCCATTTTTTCTAGCCTGTATGCGAGATGTACGAATGGAAAATGGTTGGTTTCCTATGGATATGACAGACAATGATAAGAGTACCACAGCTGAATTAAAACGATCTGTACAAGTCAATAATGAATGTAAAAGAGAAGACTGCCTTGGTGTAACGTGTCCTGGTATGAAAATATGTTATCCATTGTGGGGAACTTATGAATGCAGGTAGGTACCATTTTATATACTTTATATAGAAGGTTTCCAGGTTCCATTCCGGTTGGTTGGCCGAATGGTTACCATCTGACCATTGTATCATTAGGTCTGCCATTGAGTCAACTGCCGTGATTTCGATTCCCTGGTTGTACGTGAGTGGGGTCACCCGGTCAACCTCATGGGTTTTCTCTGGGTCCTCCAGTTTCCTCCCACTACTAAACACACCTACGCGAATTATTGAAATAAAATTGAAGCATATGTTAGTCCCGAAATGACCTAGTTGGTGTCGAGAGGAGATTTAACCTCAATTTTCTTTCCCTCTCCCTCTCTCCTTGTCAATGATCTGTCTAATGTCTAATGATTCAGATGTTACAAATTGGTGTGCACATAAAAGACCCTTGACAGTTGTCAGTTATAAGATTAGGCTGTAATGCTGCTCCCCGGGTAAAATTTCCCTCATAACACGCTGCATAGTGTATGCCCATCTTCATTAGCCCAGTCAGAGCAGAACAGGACGTTGAACCCCATTTCATTCTGAGAACCAGCATATTATTTTTCAATCTGGCCTTATTGAAGTATTATTATTATTATTATTTTATTATTATTATTATTATTATGATTGTTATTATTATTATTATTATTATTACAGATGTCCTGATGGTTATAAAGATGTAGATGGTTTGTGTCAGGAGATAGATTTCTGTGAAGACAACGAATGTGTAACCGGAACCTGTGATTCTAAGATGGGCATGTGTAGATGTCCTCCAGGATGGACCGGTACTCTATGTAATGAGAGAGAACCGGAACCAGTTGTAGCTGGACTAACAACAGGAGCTATTGTTGCTATTGTTGTCTCAATATTTATAGCTTTAAGTAAGTATCCACTATTTGGGGGGGTGGGGGGAGTGCGCGCTGTATCATAAGGTCTGTCATTGAGTCAACTGCCGTGGTTTCGATTCCCTCGCTTGTATGTGACCAGCAGAGGGTCACATATATAACCTTTCAAGTTTTCTCAAAATCAGAGGTTTGGATGGCCGAATGGTTAGCATGTAGGCGCTGTATCATAAGGTCTGTCAGTGTCAGTGAGTCAACTCATGTGGTTTTGATTCCCCTGTTGTACGTGACAAGGAATTAGGTCCGTCTGTCCAACCTCGTGGATTTTCTCTGGGTCCTCCAGTTTCCTCCCACTGCGAAAGACCCCTATGGGCAAGCGAATTATTGAAATAAAATTGAACCATGTGTTAGTCCCAAATGTCCTAGTTTGTGTCGAGTGGATGTTAAACCCCATTTCTCTCTCACTCTATTAGCATGGGCGGTTGGGTTGCCGAATGGTTTAATACATGCACTTTAGATCATCAGGTCTGTCATTGAGTCAAATGCCATGGTGTCGATTCCCGTGCTTGTACACGACAAGGATAGGGTCACCTATCTACCCTTGTGAGTTTTCTCAGGGTCCTCTGGCTGTATTTTTTTATTTTTTTTTAAGTTCTTTGAAGTTATAATTTCATGATTTGTTTGTGAATTTTATGATATGAAATATGTTTTATATTTTGTAGTTGTTGCATTGGTTGTGATATTTTTGGTCCAGTTTTCTAAACGACCTAAAGACAGTGATAAATATATACTAGAAGTTGACCCTGATGATGATATAAGGGAAAATGTTATGAATTATGATGAAGAAGGAGCAGGTAAGATAAATTACTGTGTTTATAGGTTTCGTGGTCTCGTTTTCGCTTCCGGTATTGGCTGAGAAGGTTTTTGAGGATTTTCTTTCACTGTTTTCCATGTCGGTGGTGCAGGACAAGCATGTGTCAAGGACAGTGTCTAGTTCTTTGGATAGGACAAAAAAAAGGAGGATCCCATGTATATGTAGCTGTGTACATAAAAGAACCCTTGACAGTTGAAATTAGAGTAGATTGTAGTGGTATTCTCTATATGTGTATTTGCATGATGACGACTTGTGAAATTTTCTTGAAATGTTGCAGTGTAATTATTATTCTATAAAAAGTGTGTTATTTATTTGTTTATATTAAAATTAGTGACTTAATATATATTTTCTTTCTTTCGGTGAATACCATTCCCTCTTGCGTTATTTGACATATTACGTTATAGAAGTGAATGTATATTATGTTATAGAAGTGAATGTATATTATAAAAATGAATGTGTATTATGTTATAGAAGAGAATGTGTATTATGTTATAGAAGTGGATGTACATTATCATGATGTTTTATATTTTTACAGGTGAAGAAGATCATGATGCATTTGATATCAGTAGATTACAGAAACCCGATGAATCCATGTCAATGGGTAAATCTCCATTAACTGCTGCTCCACGTAGATATGTGCCCCATCTTGGACGTAAGTTACTTTCATTTTATCATAATTTGTTTGTGATCATTTAGAGCAGGTCCTCTCATAGCACATTGCATGTTCGTCTTCATTATCCAAATCGGTGTAGAAAAGTAGGACGTTAAACCCCATTTCATCTCATGTAAACTGCATGCGGTGCACATGGAATTTATAGCAAGGACAATTAATTCTGTTCTTGAGGGTATTATATTTACTTCCAACTTGGCTAAAGACCCCTACGTTCAAATTAATGAAATAAATTTGAACCAACCCAGTTTGGCTGGTTATTCATTTGAATGCCAGTGTTGAAATTTTTTGACAGTCCCCTATTAGCATAGAGATCCTCCCAAATAATTTGGAAGTGGTATCGGGTGTTAAAAGAGATAATTAAATACATTCCATGAAACATAAATTTTATTTTATTTTCTGTTACAGGTGCCCCAAGACCTGGTGAAGATCCCGACGTTGGTGGATTTATTGACGATCGTTTAGGTGATGCTGATGAGGATCCTAATGCTCCACCTGCAGACAGTGTTTGTGAATACGCTTACGAAGGTGGAGGAAGTGATGCAGGATCTCTGAGTTCTCTAAACACCACGTCTAGTGGTGGTGATCAGGACTATGACTATCTCAATGATTGGGGACCAAAGTTTGCTAAGTTAGCAGATATGTACGGTGCTGGACAGAATACTGATAGCAATGCCTAATCCAAGTCCATATTTTAAACGGTGATAGAATATATATATAATATAAGTGAAGAGAGAAAAAAGGAATAATATTTTATAACAATAATTTCTAATGATTCCTTGTGAATGTGTGTGATTCCAATATTCTATTCAATTCCATCGTTCGATATTCAAGTTATTTGAAATTAACTACAGTTTAATCAAGATTCTGGATTTGGATTGTGCTCAACTTTGAAAGCATAAATTGACATTTTGCTTGCAGCATCTGAGGCAGATGTCGGATATTTCTACATACATATCAGGGATCAGTGTGCTCAGCTATCCAAGTTGATAATCATTTACATGGAAACCAGCTTCAAACAGGATCAAAAATATCCCCTCTGCTATAGATTTGTATGTTGTTTAGATATATTTTGTAATAATAATAAATATAATTAATCGGAAATTAATTAACGTCATTTAATTAATATGGTTGTATATAGATATTTGAGATAACTATTAAATATTCAGTGTTGTGAAACTTTAGTAAGGCCACACTAATTTCCTTTTCAGTTTTTTGGGGTTTTGATAAATAAGATGTTTTAAATTTCAAACTTATGGGAAGGATGTTCTGTTTAAAATTTCAAAACTTAAAATTTTGGAATCCAAAGCTTTTGAATATTGCAACCAAGTACTTTTGGTTTTTAAATTAGTCTTTTTCCGGAAAAAGATAAAAGGCAAAATTTTAACAGGACGTTCCCAAAGAACAGAAAAACAAAATGGTGTGGCCTAGCCAGAATATAGTAATGTTTATTAATAATATTTAAATTGAGGAACCAACTGAATTTGGATGTCTCAAAAAGAACTAGCCAATCTTTTTTTTACTTATTTAATATAGAGTAGAGGAATTGGAAAATAATATGTAACTTTTTATTGTTCAGTAATTTTAAATTTGTTATTCCATAGTCGAGGAAAACACATAATTTTTGATAATGTATTCACAGTTTAAAGGCTCATTCTTCATAATTTACACTCTTTAAGAAGGGTGTTCATTTCATTCATTGCTACTAGTTAATTGTATTATATTCTATTTTTATATTAAATATATGGTGTACTCTTAAAGGGACAGTCAGGCAATGTAAATTATGGAATAAAATTAATTCAACTTAAAAATATGCAGATCAGTTTAAACTAGTTTGTTATTCTGTAAATTGAAAGTAAATTTTGGAGGAAATTTCTAATTTCATCTTTTAAAAGACATATTATCTTGCTTTAAAATACACACTCCATATTCACAAAAACCTGAACTAAAATAGCTTAACAATTTAGATCTTTTATTGGTCAAGAGCTCAAATGTTAACTCCCAAGAGCTCAAATTTTAACTCCAATCATTGCAAATTCTGTATCTTTAAAATATCTTAGTTCAAGTTTTTGTGAATAAGGCTCCTGAAGTTCAAAGAATGATCTGGAAGTGGAAAATCTGAGGAAATTGGACAAGTTTGTCAAACCAGGTCTTTTCATAAGGTTATAAAACGGAACTGTCCCTTCAAGGATACCGAAAGATAGTATAAGCATGACAACGTGACCAGTACATGACATATATCACTTAAAAACAACTAGATCATTTTAGTATAAAATTCTTGAATATTGTATGAACGCAAGTTTCACAATATGTATCTGATGCATATCTTTGAGAGTTTTGACGATTTTAATTGAAGTTTATTATGTGCTATATTTCTAATCATAAGTTTGGTTGAGATCATTTTAGTATAAAATTCTTAAATCTTGTTTAAAGCTTATAGTTAAATGTATCTGATACACTTCTTTTGCGAGTTTTAAGAATTTTATGTGCTATATTTGTAATCATAAGTTTGGCTTTCTATATACTTTGCTTCATTTTTTTTCTATTATTATTATATATAATATCCATATGTATATATAATCAAGATTCATGTTAATTTAAATGATTTCAAGTCTATGTCTTTGCCGCAGCAAGTTTATAAACAATTCCATTATTTAAACTTTTTGGACCAATCAAAAGACATCAGATGTCATTTCATATTCAAATTTTATTCATCTCACTTCCAAAAAAAAAGCATAATAACACCAAATATGGAGATGGTATGGTGGTAAGTGAAATAAATTATATATTTTTGGAGCCAATGAAAACCATTAACTTACCACTCTAAATAAAACCCTCTTAATCGGGAGTTTTGTTGGAGATGCCCATTTCTACAAATTAACAAAATTATGGAATGCTTTGACCAACAAACAACAAAATTATGGCAATAGAATAAAGACATTTTTTGTGGAAATAGTTAACCATATTATTGTTGAATTGAATGAAAAGGGTAGGAGAATATTTGATAAAACAGAGAGACCATGCTGCAGCCAAGACCGAGACATTAAAAATCCTAATATTTTGTAAATTATACTTGTAAATAAAGCATATAAATATTATACATATTATACATATTGTATGATATTGTTGTCGATTCAATTTTAATGGTTTACTATGTGAAGTTATATATATAGTGTTAGTGACGCGGTTTGACGTGATCTAGGTTTTTGTATGAAGAATTGATGACAAATCTGTGGAAAAGTTCTCATAAATTTATATACTTTTAAAAATACTGTAATTTATTCATTAGATGATCATATCATAAAGTTAATTAATAATAAAAACCAACATTGATCTGTTTATATTTAGTGAAGTATCTTTTGAAAAGATAAATATTAAATATGTTATTAAGGCCAAACCATTTTAATTTTCAGTTCTTCGAGGCCTTGATAAATAAATAGCCACTTCTAAAAATCACGGGAACGATGTTTTGTTTGAAATTTCAAAAATTAAAACTTTGGAAGTAAAAGCACAACCATGTACTTTTGATTTTAATTAGGCTTTTCCCTAAGAAATAAGAAGCAAGAGTGCCCCAAACAAAACATCTTTCAAGAGACTTTTTATTTATCAAGGCCTCGAAGACCAGAAAATTAAATTGGTGTGGCCTATAAAAGATTGTTTTAAACATTTGTTTCTAGAGACCAACTGTGATACAGAAACAAAGATTATATCTTATCCATCCTGTGAAAATATTACACATATCATTAATGCAACGACTAATAGATCTGATATCAGGTCTGGAAATAAAGGCTTTAGGAGTACGTGACAAAATATCGGGCACTAAATGATTCTCAGTAGTCTCATTCCGTTCCACTCCACTAACCCCAGGATTCATTCATGGGGGAGACATGTAATTTAATTCAAATGTGCTATTTTTATTGACCAATCAAAAATTTGTTAAATACAAAGTAGGTTTGCAAAGGGAAGTAACTCTCATCTTTTTGCAACAACAAGAATCAAGGGCAAATAATTTGAATATGTGAATACCCAATGGATGAACCAAGGGTATAATGGAATAGAACCTAGTGAGACCACTGGGTATACCGAGGATGTAATAAACTAGTTTTTGACTTTGTGTCAGATTTGTATTAATAATGTTAATAAAAGACAAATCGGTTCCGGACAAAATGACAGGCTCCTTAGATTTTGTGCTTGACTTTGTCAATGTTTAATAAAAAAAGACAAATCGGTGCCAGACAAAATGACAGGCTCCTTAGATTTTGTGTCGGACATTGTCAATGACAGAAAGTTACTTTATTTCCAGATCTGTTTGTAATATGAACTTACTGCCCAAAATAGGTACCGGTAATACTAAATTTACAGTTCCAATATGATTTCTGTTTCCAAGGTGATTAATAATTCAAATTAATGATATTGGTAAAATAACTGATGTTTTTCTAAATAAGATTTAGCAAAATTATAAACTAAAATAACTTAAGGGTGTGGTCTTTTCATTGGTTACAAGTATTAGCTGTTACCCAATAAAAAGGCTGCTTTCTTAAAATAGCAACGTTTATATTTTAGTGAATATCTTTATATTTTAGTGAATATCGCCCCCACCCCCATTTGTATGATATTGACAAATGCTCGGTAAAGAAATGATCAGTAAATAGAACTTCTGTTAACACGTGGAACGAATTCGAGACCTCCATGTTAGCGAGCCAGCATTTTATTTAATGCTCCTCCGCGGCTCCAGATCTTATAAGATTCAAAGCAGTGAAATCGAACTTCTGTTAATGTACGATTGTATGATTTTGCTAGAGACCTGTAAATTGTATATTTTCTACACTTTATGCTAAATGAAACCATCCACGGATAAATGAGATAAACTTTAATGGTTGTGAAATCAATATTTATAATCATTCATAATCAATCATATACAATCTTCATTTCCTGTCATTTTTTTCAAATTTTTTTTAATAAAACCATATAAATCAATAATGTGTTGATTTCTTGTCTTCAAGTGCCATGGTTTCGATTCCCCAGTTGTATGTGACGAGGAGTAGGGTCGCTTGATCAACCTCATGGGTTTTCACCGTTTCCTCCCGTTTCCTGCCACTGCTAAAGACCCCCTACGCTCAAGTGAATTCTTGAAATAAAATTGAACCAAGTTAGTCCCAAAATGACCTAGTTTGTATCAAGTTTGTTAAAACCTATCCCCATCTCTCTCTCCTCAGAGTGTTGAAAATCTCTTAATGTCTATATACATAAATATATATAAACAGTCCAAGATTTAGATGAAGATCATGCTCCTGAAGCAACGACCGCAAATGTTACATCATCTGGATGTTGCTAGACTGGTCTGCAATTCCCAAACTTATAGCTTCATTATCTCCCTTTACTGCAGACGTGAACAATAGCATCCAATCAGATATTGTGACACAAACACACTCAAATTAAACATGGGGACCTCCACGGAAACCTTGATATTGAACAAACCTTGAACTTTGCATCTCGATTATCACAGGTAGAGATTTTAGCAGGAAAGCGCATGACTTGGTATTCACGATGATCGAGGAATCTGATGGGCTCCCCAGCTGGGTCAATATCCAATCGAAATTAGTGCCGAAACATACGGGGTATTAAGTGAAGGGCTTGATAAGATGTACAGAGTTAAAGCAAGATCAAGCCTTCTATTGAAAATGGATGAAGACAGGCCCGAGGCTATTTTACTTGTGAAGCCCCTCCCGATTCTCCACCACTAGAGGAAGATGTGTTTTATTATGGGATAATGAGTCATATCACCCAAGGTTCAATTTGAATTTGAAGTAAAGTATGCAATATCATCATTGGTATGTTAGAGGATAACAATGACCTTTATGAATCTGAAGACTTTAAATCTGATGGTGGGATCAACAGATTATACCCACCACATTATAGCAAGACCCTTGTATATACTCTTCAAAAAAAAGGAGGGGATATTCAGAAACAATACAAAACTGTGGAAATGCACTGCTGTTTTTATACGCCCACATTTTCATGTGGACGTATATTGTCGTCCCCCTGTCCGTCCACAATTATTTGTGAACAGTCTACAGGTCACAATTTTTACCTGATTTCAATGAAACTTGAAATAGCGTAAAATATGGTATATCAAGGTTGTGACCCTATAGAGGTCACAATTTCTATCCGATTTTGTTGAAACTTGAAATATAAGTTTATAACCCAAAGATCTTGGTTCCTTTTGATATTCGCGCATATCGGACCGCAACTTCCTGAATTATGGCCCCTGATTGTTCGAAAAATCACGTTTTTAGCTTGTGGACCCTACTGAGGTCATAATTTTTATCCGATTTAAAAAGACGTATAATTATATCACCGTTACACCCTAAGGACGGCTAAGTTCGAATTTCGTGAAAATCGGCCCACAATGGACAGACAAAATGGCCGCCTCTCGTTCTCAAATTGCGTAAAAATATGGTATATCAAGGTTGTGGAGTGTGGACCCTATAGAGGTCACAACTTTTATCAGATTTTGTTGAAACTTGAAATGTAAGTTTAAAACCAAAGATCTCGGTTCCTTTTGATATTTGCGCATATCGAATTGTAATTTCCTGAATTATGGCCCTTGATTGTAGGAAAAATCACTTTCGTTTTAGCTTGTTTTCTATCCATCTCTCGAAAATGTGGGCGTATCCTGCCTGGCAGCCGCTGGTTATTAGGGGTAACCAGTGTATGTTAATAACAGGCCAATTGCCTACACATGAACATAAACAGTTCATATGGGCGGCTTATCTGACGGCCCCATTTCAATCGCAAAGAGATACACTGTCAAAAGTGAAAATTGACATTTTTGATTTTTGTCTTAATAATGCGTAATTGCTCCACCAATCCTCAGACATTCAGCGATTCGTAGTGGCATGCTCCTAATCAACCGTCCAATCATGATTTGGGGCAATCTGACCCAATCCTCTTGCAGTGCCACGGCCAATTCTTGCAGTGTCAGCTGACATTGACGTTGACGAACACGTCTCCCGATTAAATTAAACGTAACTAAAGCAAAGATACTCTAAACAGTAAATCTTATGCAAGAACCGATAGGAAAGCAAACATGGATAGATAAACCAGCACACAGCAGTTTTCATCAACCCTTCCTTGAAGTGTCAAATTTGACAATGAACTCCTCACATGTGTATGGTGCTATTGTGTGTGCAGCTCAGTGGTTCTGTTGGGGCGATAAGTTCTTCATCTGTGAACATACCCTCAAAGCATGTCAAGTGTCCATGACTATTTATCATATCACAACCTGCATAGATATTTGCATTTCAATATCCCCTACTTTTTTTGAAGAGTATATTATACAAAGAGGAAGGGGACCCTCTGGAATGCCATGATCTAACATAATTAGAACTAGGGTTTCCTGGCTAGGGTTTTCTCTGCCATGCTAAATAGCCAAACAGATGAGAATTACTGAAATAAAGAATTATTGTATATTTTCAGAGCTTTCCTCAGTAGTGTTGAATGTTCTTCCAAAACTACTGACCATTGTCACTGTCAGGCTTCCTACATACATTATATTTGCATATAACACAATGTCCTGTGAACACGTTGATGTATATGTGAAATGAAATGGGGTTTAACATCCTACTGTTGTGCTCTGACCATGCTAATTATTTCAGTAATTTGCTTGCGTGTTGAGGTCTTTAGCTGTTGGAAGAACCAAGAGAAAAACCATGAAGTTGGAGAGAGAGAGAGAGAAATGGGGTTTAACGCCCACTCAACACAAACTTGGTCATTTCGGGACTAACATACGGTTCAATTTTATTTTCATAATTCGCTTGCGCGTAGGGGTCTTTAGCAGTGGGAGGAAACCGGAGGACCCGGAGTAAACCCACGAAGTTGGACAGGCGACCCTACTCCTTGTCACATACAACCAGGGATTTGAAACCACGCCAGTTGACTCAATGACAGACTTTATGGTACAGCACGCACGTGCTAACCATTCAGCCATCCAACCCACCCCCCCCCCCCATGAAGTTGGACAGCCGACCCTACTCCTTGTTGGATACAACCGGGGAATCAAATCCACTCCATTTTTCTCAATGACAGACCACATGATCTAATGCACACGTGTTAAATCATTCGGCCACCCAACCCCCCTATACTGAATAATCAATAATAATTAAATAATCAATATAGTGGTTTTGAATATTTATTAGAAGACTACATAATTTTCATAAAAACATTCTTATAATTGTTTATCTCCCTTTTCATTTGCTGACTGGTTAACGTTACCCTGTTCTTTCGATGGTAAACGCCAATCAAGAGGTTTATCGTAGCCCATTAAATGTATATAGGCCTGTTTACTGAAAAACATACTCGGATCCATAAAGAGGGCAAAGCCCCGAACTTTGATGGTTGTGAATATTCCAGGAACATCGGGCACCTTCACATCTTCCACAGTAAATTTATGTTCTCTTTTTCGTAAAAAGAATGTGTGAGTCGTAGCAGTGAACTGTCCAGTGGTTTCATTGTAATAGACTGTAGTTACATACTTCTTGGCAACAAAATGAATCAACAAGGGTGTTAAAAATATAAAGAAATTCACAAATCCACCTACAGCTATTTTAGTTGCCAGAGTTGTACTGTCATTAAGTAAAATCAATGGTTGTAAGCCAAGTCCTATGAAACTAGTTGATAGAGAAAATAGTTTGACACGTTTAACCAATTTTGCAAGAGGTCCACTATATATCAATTGTCCCTTCTCTTGATCTTCGAATGGTAACCCACTTAATGGCTCTATTTCACCCTTTGTTTCAGTATTCATTTGCCTAATTGTTCGACAACACAAAATTGAATCTGTTTGTGACACTTTTAAGTTCCTTGAAAATGTAGTCAAGAGTCTTTTAGCGCCACAATTCCACATGATCTTTGCCGAAAGGAAAGACATACTGACCTGCAAAAGAAATGTATGTAAAATGATTTGTTGAGCAGTTACAATTCAGTCAAGATAACGATTATTTACCATTTTTGACAGACGTCTAATATGGTGGAAAACGGGGGTTAAGTGAGAAGGACACAATGACAAGCTTCGCGTCATGGTTTTGAGTTTTTTCACCCCCGCGCAAATGGCAAAAAATCATGCGCTTTTCAACATTATAATCATAATGCTTAACCAGTGTCAAACATATACCATGGGTCTGATATGCTATAAATCAACTCTAGCATGTTCGACACACCCCAATATTACCCGGCCGCACTGGGAGGGACATGCAAAATCCTGGGTCCCCACGCCCCTGCTGTAGAAACAATGGAAATGAAATGGGGTTTGACGTTCTACTGTTATGCTCCGACTGGGCTAATGAAGATGGGTAAACACCATACAGTGTGCCATGAGGGAAATTCCAACTGGGATCAAACCTTCTACCTCCAGGCTAGCGAGCCAGCATCTTACTCACTTAGCCATAGTGGAACAAGTGCATTGATGTCATGGAATGATTATGAAAATTCAGTATAACAATTTCCATATAATAAATCGGATATTACTTAGGGAGTTCAGAAACTTTTGGGGACACCCCCCGTAATCTTATATGTTTTCTTTTTATCAGCAACCTAAACACATTGCCTTTCATGCCTGCAATGACTAGGGGTAGCTCAGTGGATAATGCCTCCATGGTTTGCATTACTTACAGCCATCATATTAATCAGATTGTTGCATCATCTATTCTAAATGAAATGAGGTTTAAAAGCCTTTGCACAGACTCATGAGACTGGGCTAATGAAAACATGCATACACCGCTATACGGTGGGCTATGATGAGGGGAATTTGCCCGGAGAGCGACGCTACAACCTAATCTTACTCGTTTTTTCGTCCCATCCCAATGACTACTCACTGTCTCTTTACATGTCAACATCCAATGATTTTTCAAGATATTTCATGGATGAACGCATCGTACTTACGAGAAATTGCAGAATTATGGAATAAATATATAAATTTCTACAGCATTATCTTCAATGTTACGTGAAAAACTTTCTTTTCATCTTAACTTGTCAAACATGTTGGAGAACTCTTTTGTATGAAGGTCAGCATGGTCTATAAGTAACGTTTTACGATAGTCGTTATTAAAGTCTATTTCTCCAAGATTACTGTTACAAGTTGTAACTTTTCCATTTCTGAAATGATGCAATCAGAATAAAAAGATTCTATAATAATTTTTTGGGGTATCGTTGAAAATGACGGTGATAAAAGAAAATAATTGAACGACATCTTAACAAGATTTACCTCCCATAGATTGGTGATGTCCACAGAGCTATAGACAGGATACAGATCACTAAAGATTTCCCCATTGACTCCAATGTTAATTCTCGTATCTTAGACCGGCTCTAACTTTTTCCCAAATTTTCGTTGGGTAGAACGCTTTCTACCACAGATGGAGCAACATGTGGCAACCACTTGCCCATAAGCACGTATGAGGTTCTTCATGAAAAACTTGAGATACACAAGCTGGAAGTAGAGACAAGTAAACATGCAATTTCAGGCCCTACATTTCAACGTAACCAACCTCTCAACTCTTGTATCCTTCCGCATCAAAATTATGAATATTCACCAAAACCTGGCAGAAAATGTATTTTCAAACCCTTTTCCTCAATTCTACACCAAAAAGTCAACAAAAATCGCCATGCAAAAGGGGGAAAAAGGAAAAGGGAGAGGAAGACTAAAAATAGCTTTGGCCCTTAATATTTGGTGATCTGTGTCCATATATATATTATCCTATTTTTCTCACTAATCACATTGTAAATTAATGCACCTTGTATACATAACACGTTATTGTCTGCGATATCACCTCGGTGGAAGCGGACGTAAAATACAACTAACTACTACTACTGTCTCTCCTCTACTTAATTGAAAAAAGGTTAATAATAATATGGAAAAAAAAAATGTAGAAGATTGATAATGTTAGTCATTACTGCTTTTTAACACAATTAGATACCAACCCGCACTCCTGATTTATTTGAATCTGCTAGGAATGTAAATTTGGTACCCACTGCACAATTCAAGGATAGATCTGGTTTCTACTAGTTCTAGCCTATACTAATATTACTAATACATTGTAGGCTATGTATTTCGTTGGGCATTCTGATTCTCTTCTACTTTAGTTATTAAGAAATTGATTTAGAGTTGCCATGGAGTCGCACTACGGCCTACTCTTATTTCGAATGATACATGCACACAATAGCAAGGGCGTGGATTTGTCATAACTTTGGGGGGGGGGGGGCGGACGAACCAGGGAATCTGGAACATTTCATTACCAAACGAAATAAATAATTATGAACAGTTTACTGTACCAGTGTTATTTCGATGAAGGCTGTAACTAGGGGTAATATGATGACAATATGGAAAAATTGACTACCTACATCAAAGCTGCATAAATATTAATTGTTCATGAAGTTAAAGTAGCTAAGTCTCTAACTCAATATCATCCAAAATCTTCAACATTGAAAACACAAATTATTTGTCAATTTAAATCAACATTGATGCTGTGATCTTACTGGAAAAAGATGGGCTTCTGATATCCAATATTTAAGACAAAATAAACATTTTACCATTGGTACATGGGGTTTAACATCCACTCGACACAAACTAGGTCATTTTGAGACTAACATATGGTTAAATTTTATTTTAATAATTCGCTTGTGCGTTATGGTCTTTAGCAGTGGGAGGAAACCTGAGTACTCAGAGAAAACCCACAAGGTTGGACAGACGACCCTACTGATCAGCTTGTCACGTACAAGTTGGGAATGAAAATCATGCCACTTGACCAATGACAGACCTTAAAATCCAACGGGCACGGATTAAACCAGTTTAGGACCAACAAAGGATTCAGTTTTATTTCAATAATTGGCTTGTGCGTATGGGTCTTTAGCTGTTGGAGGAAAACCGAGGACCCAAAGAAAGCTCAGGAGGTTGGACAGATGACCCTACTCCTTATACTGGTATTAAAACACAGGGGACTCAAAGAAAGCTGAAGAGGTCTGACAGATGACCCTACTCCTTATAGAGGTAGTAAAACATTGGGGACCCAAAGAAAGCTCATTGGACAGATGACCCTACTCCTTATACTGGTATTAAAACACAGGGGACCCAAAGAAAGCTCATTGGACAGATGACCCTACTCCTTATAGTGGTATTAAAACAGAGGGGACCCAAAGAAAGCTCATTGGACAGATGACCCTACTCCTTATACTGGTATTAAAACAGAGGGGACCCAAAGGAAGCCCAGGAGGTTGGGTGACCCTACTCCTTACACTGGTAGTAAAACACAGAGGACCCAAAGAAAGCTCAGGAGGTTGGACAGATGACCCTACTCCTGACACTGGTATTAAAACACAGGGGACCCAAAGAAAGCCCAGGACAGATGACCATACTCCTTATACTGGTATTAAAACACAGGGGACCCAAAGAAAGCCCAGGACAGATGACCATACTCCTTATACTGGTATTAAAACACAGAAACAAGTTTTATTGAGACTTATTTTTATTGAGAATAATATTAAACTATTTCTAAGTATAAAAGTATATTAATATACAAGCTTTATGATACAAAGATTGAAACTAGACTATGATAAATAAAAACTAACATAGCCCCTGTCATCTTCAGATTGACATTATACAATGTTTTTAAATGACAGGATGAAAATAATTATATTTCTTAGTCAAACAAATGATTTGATAATTAGATAAACAAGAAATTAAAAGAGGCATTATTTCTGTCACCATGACAACAAATTAGCAGTGCCAGATTTACCTAGGATCAATATCTAGGTGTCCTCTGGCGAAGGTGTTTAATATTTTTGACACTGTCTTAAGACTGTCTTATACACACTGTAGTCTTAAACATCTCTCCCTCCGGCCAAGGTGTTTGATATTTTTGACACAGTAGTCTTAAATATCTCTTGTTGACACATGTCGGATTTAGTTGTCACGTCAAATCAAATCAAATCAAATCAAATCAAAAATATATTTTGACAATCACTGATGTTTGCTGTTAATTAATAATTATAGTGTCTCTTTCAATTAATCACTTGCCAGAAATTTATGATTTCGTTAAGATATTGATTTAAAATTAAAAGTAAGCTGACAATTTTAGGAGCTTGTGTTAATAATGGTAGTGTCTTTTTTAATTAATCACTTGACAAAAATTTATGATTTCATTAAGATATTGAATTTAAGATAAAATTAAAAGTAAGCTGACAAGGAGCTTGTGTTCATGATGATAGTGTCTCTTTCAATTAATTGCTTGCCAGAAATTTATGATCGTGTCAAGATATTGAATTTAAGATAAAATTAAAAGTAGGCTGACAAGGAGCTTATGTGTTCACTAAACTAAAATAACTATCTAAAAAACTTAATCATGTAATCCATGAATATATAAAAACATTTTATAATATGAATGAATACATAGTATAAATAATTTAAACAATTCAATTTGATATTGTAAAAAAAAAAAAAAAAAATAACACAAAGATATGCAGATCTGTTTTATGAACATTTTCATGACAAATCACAAAATGGTGGTTTTTATAAACTTTTACATAAATCAAAATATCAATGGACTAAAATTTGATGACAAGGAATTTAAAGCGATAGTTGCGCATTTTCTAAGAAAGTCTATATATTGCTTAATAGGTTGTTAAACATGGTTATAGAATTATAGAAACCATTCTAGCACTTAAAATAATAACAACTAGTAATTAATAACATATAACGCAATTAACACTGGAAAAAGCAAAATTACCTCCCTTGTTTTATATATATATATATATGCTCCTTTGAATTTGCAAAACTCATCAGTTGATGATTCAACTTGATAATGATATATTTACCTGTTTCTCAACTGACACTAGTGAATTATAGGATTAATGTGTTTTAAGGCTTTATTATAACATATTTTAAATATATATATGACTTCAAAAATGCAACTATCACTTTAAAGAAAACTATGGTGATACTGAGTATTAAATAATAAAAATCAAAGACATTTGTATCCATAAAATATTGAGTTGATTTGTATAATACATGTAGAGGATCGGAAGTCATCTACATGTAGAAATGTCGATCCTCCTCTTTTGAATCCAAGCCAGAAAGTGATCTACCATTGATATTAGATATAAGAGAGAGAGAAATGGGGTTTAACGCCCACTTGACACAAACTAGGTCATTTCGGGACTAACATATTGTTATAATTTTTTATTTCAATAATTTGCTTGCGCGTAGGGGTCTTTAGCAGTGGTAGGAAACCGGAAGACCCGGAGAAAACCCACGAGGTTGGACAGGCGACCCTACTATTTGTCACGTACAACCGGGGATTCGAAACCACGCCAGTTGACTCAATGACAGGCCTTATGAGATATTATTTATAAACAGTATTTTTAAGCAGTATTTCAATCTGATTAAAACACAGATCCTATTTCGTTCGTTTTTATAGTTCAAAATTTCGCTTTACTTGTCTTTACTACACTAGGATCTGGAAGAGTTGTTATATAACAGGCGTTCTACTTGATGTGAGGAATTAGCCAATGAAATGGTCTGTTACGGCAAGTTCTTAGCCTTTTTATGCACAGAACTGTGGGTAAACCACTTGAAAGATCAACGGTGATTGATTAATCAATGTCTGACATCATAGGGTCAAAAGCCGCTCGTTTGACCCCTGAAGTGAACTCCCACTATAACTTGTCAGATCTTCATTTAGTATAAAAAACGAAATGAAATATAGATCTGTATTTTAATCAGACTGGCATTATTTTTAAGATATAATACAGTACATTATTCTCAGAAAAGGATTGAGGAACAAGATAGGCCTATATTACCTCTCTCCTAACCTTATTAATTATATGTTAGTAAATAAATTTAAATCAATCTGAATATATTTCTGGCATGGAATAAGCCACAAAAAAATAGATCTTGTCTGCAATATTTAAATGACAACCAGCAGCCTTAAACAAAGGGACATCATTTTCTGGGACAAACTGATATCTAATCTAAAATAATGTACATAACTTATAATTGACAGATTAAATATAATATTACAATACTTATCTCTGATTGTAACCAGGGCCGTCTTAACGTACGTCTTAACGTATGAGCACGCTGGGGGAGAGATAGAGAAAATGGGGTTTAACGTTCACTCGACACAAACTAGATCATTTCGGGACTAACACATGGTTCAATTTTATTTCAATAATTCGCTTGCGCGTAGGGGTCTTTAGCAGTGAGAGGAAACCGGAGGGCATGCTGGGAAGTTGACCGAGGACCCCACGTGTATAGGGGCTTATCCTAATCTATGAATGTTGTGACTTGTTGTCAATAAATATTATACTATACCATACCAATATAATAAATACCATACTGCACTATCTATCGGTACACATGTTTTTTAATAACATTGATTTTATTGGAGCTATGAATACAATAAATCTATGTTTAATGTCACTGACCATTTTTAAACATACATTATGCAAGAGCTAAATCTGCCAATTGCAGGTCTTTCTTTAAGCCTGAAATGTTATCTAAATTATTAATTAGACATTAATCAACTCTCGATGTCATCGCTAGCCTGCGATATTTACTGAATTATAATCCGATTTGCTGCTCAAAACTCATTCATGATTAAATCAAAAAATGGATAATAGAGACTATGTTTTTTATTCTACCGACTTTAATAATCATGATCGAGGCTAGGCGCAAAATTCAATCGCTAAATTGTCAGTTCAGAGTGGATCAAATTGAAATTTTATGCCTTTACATTATCTAGTTTTTAACTATTCTAGTGAGAACTGCCAGCTCTTTATCTAATCTCCCATAATGTATCTTTAATAACATATATTTTATTGGAAGTACCAATACAATAAATCTGTTTAATTTTAGTGACCTTTTACATTTTTATTCCTGTGAGTGGTTGTATAGGTAAGGGCCCAAGTACACGGCTTTGCCCAGGGGCCTATATTGCTGTTAAGACGGCCCTGATTGTAACACGATTCAATGACATGTATATGAATTAAGGTCACTGTAGTATATACAGTGTTAATCATTGCTATGATACATGTATAAATTATTTATGATAATTTTTATTAACAACATGGGTAATTAAAATTTTATGATTCATTTGTAACATATCTACTAAAAAGACATGACTAATCTTTGGTAAAATATTTATTTCTACAGCTACAAATATACAGGCTCTAACCCTTGGAATATTATATCAATCATCCTTCCTCTTCAGGAATTGATACACAAGAGATATCGGTTAAAAGTTCATCTCTCACATAATATAATATGAAATCCTTATACGGCAATTAGTAATTGAACATATAATATACAAACACAAATTTATATGGAAAACAATCACTGGGTTTATTTCACACTATGTTTCAACAAGTTCCCCTTGTCGTTCAGTGATTGTTTTCCATATAAATTTGTGTTTTTATAATAATTTATCTTGAGTGATTTTGAAATTAAATGACATGGGGAAACAACCACGGAAAATCCATACCAGAGAAATTTTCTAAGCCAACCCCTGGAGTGATCCTGAGACCTCCTAGTTACCGAGCCAGCATCTTACTCACTAAGCCACTGTGGCTCCCTCGAGTGATTTTGAAATTAAATGACAAGGAGAAACAACCACGGAAAATTCAGAAAAACTTTCTCAGCCAACCCCTGGAGTGATCCTGAGAACTCCTTGTTACCGAACCAGAATCTTACTCACTAAGCCACTGTGGCTCCCTTGAGTAATTTTAGGTTAGGTAAGAAATATGTCGATCTTGAGTTCTAATAATAATGAATTTCTCAGGTAAACAATCAGCCCTGGATTGCTCCCCATATTGAATGAAAACATCATACAGTAACATGATCTTTTAGAGGCATTTAATAACTGGACAGAGCAATAAACTATAACATATACTTATGGAAGAACAATTACTGATTTATTTAGGCGACGTTTCGAAGAGTATTCTCTCAACGTTTTCAGGCAAGTACAGTAACAAATGTTTTTATTATTTATTAATAACTCCAATGTTAATTATACCAATTATTAGTGGTCTCACTAATCCTTCATATCGTGGGTGAAGTGTCAAAAGGGTGTATCTAAGAATTTCTAAAAATTAAGAAATGGAACCTTTTGCACTTCAAAATTTCCACAAATCCAGACACAACATTTGGACACATGATACCCAGGACAGTTCTAATTGGCGTAGAGATACATAAATGTGCATATTAATTCGGAGATTTTAAAAATGCAAAAAAGTGTATTTGACTAATTTGCTGCGATACACCCTTTTGACACTTCACCGATGATATGCACCTTGCCTTTGATCATGTTGTTTTCATGCCTTTGATCTTCTTGTTATTCTGCATGGTTTCATATTTGTTGTTAATGCTTGTCTATATATAATTGCCCTACACATTTGTAACTGTACTTGCTTGAAAACGTTGAGAGAATACTCTTCGAAACGTCGCCTAAATAAATCAGTAATTGTTCTTCCATAAGTATGTGTTATAGTTTAATACTGTAACATGTATCTTTAATTTTAATTTAAAACTATTACTGCCGAAATGTTTGTACGTGTAATATATATATCACAATGATGTAACTATTCGGACTAGAATGACATCTCACTGCAAACAAACACCTTTGTTTTATTTTTTTACAGGTACAAGCATTATGCAACTTAACAATTAAGCACATTTGAAAAAACAATATAGATGTACATGTATACATATTGAAATTTATCTCTGTCATCCTGTATAAATTTCGTAATTTATTTCTGCCTAAAAATTGTACAACACTTTATACAAAAAATTGTGCAAATGTGACAATTTAAAACTTCTATTAAATTGTTTGCATATAATAAGACCTATATACATGTAATAGTAAATATTTCAATAAAATTGTAAAAACCAGAAATTGTTAATGAAAAGATTTAAATGGAAAATAAATACAATTCTAGAAAAGAATATCGTTAAAATAGTATGCAAATTTAATAATGAATGAACATAGGTAATAAAAAAAATTTCCTATAAAGGGGAGAAAAAGGCACAAATGTATGTAATATTTGTACCCTATGTGTAGATAACATGATAAATTTAAAACAAATATTAAAAATATGAAAATATAGGATGAACTACCCAAATTTTGTTTTACAAAACAATACCCTACACTGTACATTACACTGCCCCAAAGGCAAACAGTTATTACATAGTACATGTATCATATCTTAAAGCAGTTGTTCTCAACCTTTTTTTGCCAACGGCACACCTTGGATCACATGAAAAAATATCAGCAGACCTGCCTAAATATATATGAAAATTATTTGAATTTGCAAAATAAAAACATGGTAAGTCTGATGGCACATAACCGTAGACATAGACTACTCATAGACATATAGAATGACTCAAACACGGCTATGAATACACATTTTCACATTTTCTTTGTGTGCCGTTCAAAGTTTTGCGACACATTTACAGGTGTGCCACGGCACACTGGTTGAGAATCACTGTCTTAAAGTCTTGTTGCATCATTTTAGCACAATAGGAATCCCTTGCAAACTATATTGTGAAAGCTGAATCTCTTAACAAGAATATTGGTCAAAAAATGAATTAATTTTTACTTATAGATTACTGAGCTTGTTCTGAAATTTAAAGCCTCAATGTATCATTTTAAGAATTATGAATCCCTTGAACTACAATACAGTGAGAGATGAATCTCTAATGGTAATATAGGAATATCTGTGAAATTTCATCGACCTACATGTATGCTGATTGCGATATTATAAGCCATTTTGTTGTATGGGAACATAATTGATAGGCCTGTTTTAAATCTGATTAAATCCAAGCCAGAAAATTATCTAGTGTTGGAATTTTGATTTTGTGTTTTTAATTAAATGTTAAATAATCAATCTGAGTACATACTAGCATGGATTAAGCCATGAGAAAATTAATATTTTAGCAAAAAATGGAAATGATGCAATATTACTTTAAATACACTACAAGTACATGTACATATGTAAATTCACTCCTATGATTGAAACCAGAGGGTATGTCTGTATACTCAGTTAGCCCTAAACCTATCCCACATTCCCCCTCTCTGCTCCTAAAAAAAACAACCCCTGTCTTTACGGTTACTTGGCCCCCCAAAATAGGGTCAGTCATTTGGAAAATCTTTTTATTTTTGTGGGTTTAATTACTGAGTAAAGTTCCTGAAAATAATACCAAAATTTCACTGTTGGAATTTGTTTAGAGATCAAGTTATATAGCGTGGAAATGAAAAAAATTTTAAGGTTTGCGATTTTGGCTCAAAATAATAGAATCGGCCAGGTTACAGTAAGCACTAGTATTTTTTTTTTATCTTTTGGGGGGGGGGGGAACTTTTAAGAAAATCTGACAAATGGGTTGAATATTCCAATTCTTGTTGCTTGATTTCATCAAATTTATTCACTGGATTTTTCTTACCTCTCCCAGTCTTTCCATGTTTATATGCATATCAACAAATGAATATTTTTTTATGAAATAGTTTTAAAAAAAACAAGTGATATATATAAAGTTAAACAGTTGGGGTTGGATATTCCAATTTTTGTTACTTGATTTCATCAAATTTATCCACTGGATTTTTCTTACCTCTCCCAGTCTTTCCATGTTTATATGCATATCAAAAAATGAAATAGTATTAAAAAAAACAAGTGATATATATATAGTTAAACAGTTGATTCTATACCAATGGTTTGCTGTGGAACACGACTACATGAGCTATACAATGAAGGCTGCGATGAATAGACGCTATCTACATCTCTTTGAGATATTGTCGGATACGACAAGCGGCTGGGATTGGTCACCATTGTCTGAAAGTAGTTACGGAACACAAAACTTCGATCCGATTCGTTAAGAGAACGAACTTCAGAATTTTCAAAAGGTTTGGGCTTTTTCTCAAAGTCAAGATGGCTGCTCTCTTGTTCTACTGGCACGCAAACTTTTCGAAGTTCTTCTTTCGTTTTGTCACGTCTCCACAAACAGATTGCAACGATCAGGAGAACGAGTGACACTATAATACACGGGATTACGATCGCTATTTGAGTCTTAACAGACAAAGAACTCCCCTTTGTCGTTGCCATGCATTCTTCAATATCCGAATTACTTAAACTCAGAACTGGTTTCTTGAAGAATGCCGCCGGCGTGGTACATCGAATATTTTTACAACTCTCGGAAAAACTCTCTAATGTCTGATCACAATAAATCATAATGGTACTTTGAGGTTCTTGAAGCCATTTCTTCAAAGGTTTGATATTACAGTCACAATGCCACGAGTTCTCTTGTATACGTAATGTCTGAAGATTATCCAATATCACAAATGATTTCTTCGGGATGTGTTGAAGGTTATTGTGTGATAAATCCAGAGATCGTAGCGATTCTAGATCACGTAAATGATCATCGTTAAGTTCTTTTAAACCACACGACGATAAATTCAAGGTATAAATTCTGTACAAACTACTAAAAACGGCGTTTGGTAAATTTTGTATGGGATTTCCTGCTAAATTTAAAGTTTCGATATAATTAGCAGTGGGCTGAAGAAAGTCATCTTCAATATCGTAAATAATATTATATGATAAGTCTAGTTCACGTACTTGTAGAGAATTAAATGTTTCACGCGTTAATTTATTGATTCGGTTCGTAGAGAGTTTCAACTTCTCTAAATTCATTCCAGAAAATTGGGAATCAATTAACGTCGTTATTTCATTATGTTCTAAATACAAATAACGGAGTGTTGTTAATTTTAGAAAGTCTGACGAGGAAGGGAGAGAACTTATTCGGTTGTCCCCTAGATTAAGTATGGAGATACCTTGAACTCTGTTGAATATATCACTATCAATGGACATCAAGTCGCAGTTTCTTAGACTCAGTTCGTCCAGTTGTCGAAGTCCCTCGAATATTTCACCGTTGATATTTTGAAGCTGATTCCCATCCAGTTTTAGGGTGACTAGATTTGATAAAGAATTAAAACAACCGGTTTTTAGATTATTTAACGAGTTCGCACTTAGATCTAAATATCGCAAACTCTTTAATGGCTGTAGCATAGATCCTAGATTACTTATCCTGTTATGGGAAAGATCTAATCTTTGCAACATCGGAAGTCCTGAAAAGGCATCACTGGCTACAGAATTGATATTGTTATCTGAAAGACTTATCTCTGACAGCGACGGCATGTCCGCAAACACATTGTTCTGAATATCTTCTATGGAACATTCCGTTAAAAATATTTTAGTTATCACAAAATCTTTGAGAATTGTAAAATCACCTCGTTGTAAGACTCGCTGATTTGTTAATTTCTTCATATGTAATTGATGAATGTCTTTCGTCACCGATTCTAATATTTCTTTCAGCGATCCTTCGCGGCAGAACGCTCGCTGTCCCCGTCCCGTCTGAGTACACTGACAACCAGTAGGACAAGCGCAAGTCATACGCACAATCCATATTGATAGAATCAGAAAGGACAGGGAAACTTTCTGAAATATCATCACCTTCGCAACCTGAAAGTATAAACAAAAACAAGGTTCTACAAAAAGTGAAACAAGGACCATAACTCTAGAAGTAATTAACAGAAATTGTTGAAATTAAGTAGGCTTCTTCGTCTCACTAATGCGGAGCCACGGTGGCTAGTTGGTTAAGACGCTGGCTCGCTAGCCTGGAGGTCGGGTGTTTGATCCCTGCATTGGCCGAGAAAGTTCATCTGGATTTTCCGATGTGGTTTCCCGTTGTCAGTGGTGCAGAACGGAGGGCGATGGCAATATACATTCACATATATATGTGGCTGCATAACAACTGAAAATATAAAAACATACAACTGAATGAAATATAATCTGACAGTTTAGTTTAATGTATAGTAAGTACATGTAATGGCTGGTATCAGGCACCTGACTATGAACACCTGATACCATTTCTCTTTAGTAAATATAATTACAAACAACTGAATGAATTATAATCAGTTTAGTTACATGTATCATAAGTAATTGCTCACTGTAACCCAGTGTATCTTGCACTAATTTCTTTCACATTCGTTTAATATCCAATCTTTGTTTAAAAATTTGTAAAACTTGTTTAAAATCACCATAAATCGTTTAATTTGTACTTGTGTCCAGATTAAAGCTGACCATTCAATTTTGATAAAGAGTGTCCAATTTACAAGTGTTTAATTTCTCAATCACTGTTAAAAAATAAACAACCCAATTGATTATTGGTGTATAATGATTAATTTTTGAACAGTGGTCAGGAAATTAAATACTTGTAAATTGGACACTCATTATCAAAATTAATCAGTCAGCTTTAAACTGGACACAAGTACAAATTAAACGATTTATGGTGATTTTAAACAGTTTTTACAAATTTTTAAACAAAGATCGGATATTAAACGAATGTGAAAGAAATTAATGCTAGATACACAAGATTAAATGATACCTAAGTTAAAGTGGCTGGTGCCATGCACCAGGTTATGTATCCTTACTCTTTCTAGAACAACCGATACCACTTCACAAAGATAACCTTTGGTGCACTTTTCTATAATAGTACATGATTTTGAGAGCAATTTCAGAGCACCTGATTTAAGATCTAACCAAGCCAAAACCCTTATACAGAAAATGACCCCCCCTCCCCCCGAAAAAAAATTTGCCGACCATAGCTCTAAAATACCTATTGTAGACTGTGCCCCCCACTAAAAACTTCACTGCCCCTCCGCAGCCAACAAGCAGGCTACGGACCTGGAACACAGAATGCAGGTAACCGTACAGATTCTGGTAGTTAGTCTGATTAGCAGTAAGAAGAAAAAAAAAACAATTACACAAGACAACACAATTTACGATCTAACCTCGCCAAAAACTTTATACAAACCGCAGGTAGTCGAGTTGAGTACAGATTCTGGTATTTAGCCTCATTAGCAGTAACAAGCCAAAAACAATTACACAAGATATACACAGACACCTCAACCTACCGATTTATATATATCAAGTAAAAGGATCTGGGGACTAGCCCCTAGGTGCCCACTGCGCTGTACAATAAAATGGGATTTAATATCCTACTGTTCTGCTCGTGAAGATGGTAACACTGCACTATAATCAGTCCCTGGACTGTAATATGTTTAATCAGTAATGTGCGGCACACAATATGATCACACATTTAGACAGTCACATGAAATACTTGCAGATGTCTTATTTTAAAATCAATAACATTCAACAGTAAACATATCTATGGCTGGAAAAATGAAACTCCTTCCTTTATCAACAATTAAATATAGGTTCTCCATCTGTTCAAATAATAATGTTAGCTAAATATATGTACATGTAACAATGCTGCCAACCTGAATCGCTGGTCTGATCTTCATGTAATACACGTTGACTTTCACTTAAGGTGATATTTAAAGACTTCCTTAAGGACATCAGCCAATATTTTATACAATAAAAATATCATTTTTGACATTGTGTCACCTTACACCCGTCACGTCATATGTCTTCAACCTAATTTTAGATGACTACACAAGTTTTACCCATAAAAAGTAATTCATAAGATATACACACTAAAATGAATTCCTTAAATGAAGATTTATGATTTAGAGTGTTTTTTTTCTTTTTTTTACAGAATATAATTTGCTAAAATGAATTCCTTAAATTAAGTTTAAAATGATTTATGATTTCGATAGCTGGGTTTTTTTTCTCAGAATATAAATGGCTAAAATAATTTTTAAATTAAGTTCCAAAAGATTTATAATTTATAGAGCTGTGTTTATTGACATTTATTGGATGAAACGCCCTGGGCGCGACGTCTATTTACGTAAGTACATGTAACTCAGTTTTTAAAAAAGACAATCGTCTATCGGCATCTATTCAATTTTCATCTGCAATCAACAAAATTTATATGCAATTTTTTGACAGTGAATAAATTTTAAAATTAATTTAAAAAAAAACAGTAAATAAATTCTTTTAGTACAAAATACGTCAATTCAAATTAAAACACGTGTGGAGAGTAGGAGTAGCTTAACCGTTATAATTAATGGTCTGCAATGATGTCTGCGTCAAATTAATTAGGTAGAAATATCAGGCCCGGGCCCTTATTCACAAAAACTTAAACTAGGATACAATCGAAATTTTAAGAAATACTGCAATTTGATTGGCTGACCAGTAAAATTAATTTGCATATATCCAATTTGCATATTGGTCAGCCAATCGGATTTCAGTATTTCTTAAAATTTCGATTGTATCTTAGTTTAAGTTTTCGTGAATAAGGGCCCTGGAAATAACAGTTTTAGATGTACTGGACAAAATGTCAGTCACTAATGAAATAGTACCTTATAATTTCAACTTAGTACCGGACATGTGTTAATAATATCAATAAAAAAGACAAATCATTGCCGGACAAAATGACAGGCACCAGAGGTTTTGTGCCTGACAAAACCTGAATCTGTGCCTGACAATTGCTGTGACAGGTGCCTTATTTCCAGGCTTGAGAAATATAAAAGATACATTATGTAAGATTTATATAAACAGCTGGCCATTCTTGTTATAATAGTTCAAAAATAAATAATGAAAAATGAACATATTGAAAATTTCAGCCAAATTACTTCATTCTGTGTTTTGACAAAATGTAGGCATACATTGTTTATTTTCATAGAATATTTATAAGTCTTGATTATCTATTTCTTTGCTTGATAAAGATGAGAGAAACCTCGTCGAAATGTCGCCAGAAATAAATCTTTCAGTAATTTGTTTTCCATATAATTGTGTCATGTGTTACCTACTTTATCATTTATCTCTTAAATGTCTGCAGTGTTCTATGGAAATCTCTCAGTCAGTATTAATGCTAAGTTTGCAGTTTTACATATGTTTGTATCTACTATAACATATATTTTTTTCATAATATTGTCACCTGACAAGCACTGATTCACTTCACATGGAATGACCCTTAATGCTTATTTACCTTCTATATTCTGTTCCAATTAAATTTTTCTGTCTATAAAATTTAAAAAAAAAAACATATATTTTTTTCATAATAATGTCACCTGACATGGAATAAATCAATCTTTATTTATTTTTCTAATACATAAAAAAAAAAATGTTCTAGAATTTAATTTGCAGAAGGAAAAAAGTTAATATTTGTGGCTCTTTAAGTCGCATCGATGTCATCCTTATCAGTGATTGTAGCGGCCTAGCGAATATTCACTGCTGATCAGTGTGGGAATGACCCTTAATGCTAATTTTAACTTCTATATTCTGTTCCAATTAAATTTTTCTGTCTATAAAATTTAAAAAAAAAACCCAACAAAACTTAAGTTCAATTTGACAGATTTATGTTTTAAAAGTGGTGTGTTATAAAAATGGAATCAAAGCCCAATATAGAAATATAACTGCATGAGTCATCAAAATATAATACAATTGGAACCTATGTGTACAAGAAACATACTCAAGTTTAATGCAGGATTGCGGACATCAACCCAAACTGTCATACTACCCTTGATATGTTAATATAGTACACATATAGATTATTCTGACATGCACGACGTATGCAATTATAAAAATATATCAAAAATAAAAAAATACACAGGGAAATAAAATGAAATGGGCTCCCTGGAAAAAATTACACTGTGTGTGTGTGTGTGTGTGAGAGAGAGAGAGAGAGAGAGCTTGCTTTAATCCATTCACACAAACCAGGTAATTTCTAGATTAACACATAGTTCAATTTTATTTCAATAATTTGATTGCGGGTAGGGGTCTTTAGCAGTGGGAGGAACCGAGGACGCGGAGAAAAAATCGAGAGAGAGATGGAGTTTAACATTTACTTAACACAAACTAGTCATTTTGGGACTAACACATGTTTCAATTTTATTTCAATAATTCGCTTGCACCTAGTGGTCTTTAGCAGTGGGAGGAAACCAGAGGACCTGGAGAAACCCCACAAGGATCGACAGGCGATCTTACTCCTTGTCATGTACAACCGGGGAATCGAAACCGCCCAATTACATGTACACTGGGGGTTTCAGATTATCATTAAGAACTTAAGGAATATAACACCCTTAAGTGCACAATATGCGCACATTAAATAGTCATTTATAAAGATGTTAACATAACAACATATAATTTGATACACCTCAGGTCATACAATTCTCTAACATTAAAATGAAATTGTTATAATAATAAAATATAATAGGCTTAGTTTCACAATGCACATGCACCAGTGAGTACATGTATATGACCTCTAGTTTGTAGTTTGTCAAGCTTGACTAGCAATTTTACACTACAGTAGGAAAATTACCAGAATTTTCCAGTTTTACAGCTACGCCTACGAAATGATTTAAAGGGGCATTATGTAAGATTTAGATAAAAATCGGACAGTTCTAGTTATAATAGTTAAAAACCAGATAATGGAAACAGAATATGCTAAATATTTCAGTCAAATTGCTTCACTCTGAACTGAGATATTAGTGATTAAATTTTACCGTTTAACAGCTTACCAAACGATTTGACTATAAAATAATATCTTTACATGT